TCGACCGCATTTGAAGGAGTCTTCGAATTGGGACAGGCCTAGTCGCGGCGCTGTGACGTAACCGGCCGACGAATCCGGCCGACGTAGGATGCAGACCCTGAATTGAGACACAGCCTAGTACTTCTATCACCAGCTGGCTAGAAGAAAACTTCCTTCAGTTAAATTCTGAAAAGACTGAATGTCTGATCATTGCCCATGAGAGCATGGTTCCCCTGATTAGTGTAAAACTTGGTCATTTATCTTCTGCCGTCAAGACAAACTTAAGGAATTTGGGTGTTATTTTTGACCAATGTTTCTTGAAGGCCACTCAAAAACGTTGGTCCGAAACTGTTTTTATCATTTAAGAAACATCTCCAAACTGCGAAGGTCGGTGTCAAAACATGAACTTGAAATGGTTCTCCATGCCTTTATCTCCTCACGTCTAAATTACTGTAACACGCTTTTCACATGTTTTAACAAAAAAGCCCTTGACCGCCTTCAGTTGGTCCAGAACTCTGCAGCGAGGCTCCTAACTGGAGCAAACAGAAGAACACACATCACTCCTATTCTAATGTCTCTGCACTGGTTACCCGTTAACTTTAGAGCTCATTTTAGAATTATGACTATAACTTTCAATGCTCTACATGGTCAAGCCCCTTCCTATATTACTGAACTGTTAAAGCCTTATGCTCTAACCCGAGCCCTCAGGTCCACCCACCAGAACCTTCTAGAAGTTCCAAAGACCAGATACAAAAGTCAAGGTGATCGCTCCTTCCAGACTGTTGCACCCCGACTCTGAAATGATCTTCCTTTATCCTTACGCAGCATTGACAGTCTGGACACTTTAAAAAAACAGCTGAAGACCCTTTTATTTAAAGCTGCTTTTAACTAAACATTTAATTTTATTTTTAACTCAAATTTTTCATCTTTCATCTGTTTATGAAAACGTATAATTTTATTACTTTATTTTTTCTGATGTTAATCTGATTCTGTTTTGAGAGCATTTTGATTTTATGACTTTGCTTTATTTTGATCTATGTGAAGCACTTTGTGATTCTATGTCTGTGATAAGTGCTATATAAATAAAATTTACTTACTGACTGACTTACTTACTTACTAGAGTCATGTATGTGTTATCCAATCCATGACGAGATGTCCAAATATCAGGAAATAAGACTCCAAAACCTGCTGTCTGAAGCTCAGCTGTGATGTGGCTCACTGCTAGTTCCTGGAAATGGTGCACTGGCTTTCATTGACTTTCATTCCTACTAGAGACCACTGCAAATGTATGGATTAAACAAGTGTTCCACACTGTCGGTGCAAAAGTGACTTGTTAACCTTTCAGAAGATTTGGGAAATTCAGCTTTGAGTCCTGGTCATAAAGATTTGATCAGAAAATTGCCTGAAAGAATAATCAGCAATTGCTTGACTAAGACATACATAATGATGGAGTAACCCCCAAATTCCACTACCTCCGCTCCGCTGCGCTCCGACACGAACGCCGGAGCAAAATCGGTCCCGTTCTAGTCAATCAGAGCAATTCCACTACTGCGGCCGTGCTCCGGCAGTGCGGCGCCGTGCGGCGCCCTCTGTTCCGGCGTCCGGCAAAAATAGAATCGATCCTATTTTTGCCGGACGCCGGAGCACCTCCGCAGTAAATGGACAGAAATCACAACGGCCCAACAGGAAAAGGAGCAAGCACATCTTCCGTTTTTCACAATAAATCGCTAAACAAAAGGCGTTTTTTGTTTCATATGCACAGGTTTAACAACTTTTAACAACTATCAATGGCGGCTGAAGTTTAAATGCACAAAAATAAGCCATAAATACAGTTGCCACTATCAAAGTAGTCACACTTTGTTGATCCAAACACTGCTGATCTCTCAACACAATGATGGGCAGATTAAACAGCTCATTTCCGATGCTTCTCCCGCACAACGGGTGTTTGGATCTAACTTCCGCGTTTATTGCTCGGACTGTATCGCAAGATCTCGAAAATCCCGCGCATGCTTGTTTGCCCCCCTCAGGTCTCCGCACCGGAGCGGAGCCGTTGTAGAGCGGGTACCAGTAAAAATTGAGTTCGGAAGCGAGCGGCTGCGGAAGGCGGGGGCGGACCGGAGCGGAGCGGAGGTAGTGGAATTTGGGGGTAAAAGCTGTAAACCCTTTTTTTTTTTTTTACAGCCGCCACTGCTGGGCTGTTGTTACTATTCCAGACTTTCAGAACAATTGGATCCAGACTTTTTCCTCTTTTGCTGTTCACACTTGCATTTCCCGCCTGGAGAGTTTCTCCTGAAGAATCTCTCTTGCAGCTGGAAAATTAAACAGGAGGCTGTGCAGAGAAGTGTCTGTTTATGGCTGACAGAAGGCACGACACCATGCAGAAGGTATGGTGCGAAAACTGCTGTTTTCTTTACCGCACCATACGGTAGACGGTGGAAAAGACTTCTTTTGTTTATTGATACCACACGTATAGAATAGAATAGAATAGAATGCCTTTATTGTCACTATACAGGTGTAAAGTGAGATACAGAGCATCTCAGTGTAAAACAAACATACTCGGGGGGTGGGGGTGGGGGGGTACAGTTCTGCAGCGCTACGTACATATGGAAAGTAAGTGTTGTATACAAATTATTGCACAGTATTGTTACAGTTCTGCAGCTCTATGTTCATATGGACAGTAATGTTATGCATATACAATTATTGCACATGGAATTTGGTATCAATAGATAGTGGTGGTCAATGGAGGAAGTGGGAAGTGGGGGGCTGTGTTATCGGTGCATACATGAGTTCAGGGTGGTTATTGCTTTGGGGAAGAAACTGTTTTTGAGTGTGGGTTTTTGTATTAATGCACCTGTAGCGCTTCCCTGAGGGAAGCAGTCTGAACATGTTGAAGCCAGGGTGGGAGCTGTCCTTGATGATGTTTGTTGCCCTACTGAGGCAGCGGGAGGAATAAATATCCATCATGGAGGGGAGAGGACAGCCGATGATCTTCTGTGCTGTCTTTACCACACTCTGAAGCCTCACTCTATCCGCCTTGGTGCAGCTGCCGTACCATACCGTATCAGAACACGTCTCCATTAAGAGGGAGATGTTAGAAATGAGAAAAAGTAGAGATGAACTGAAAAAAATGGAAACATCAAGAACTTTTACGGATTTTTTTTTAAAACGTCTGTTTTCATCTACAAAACATTTAGCAACTCTGATATGTGAAGCTTTTCTGAAGCCATGTTGCGAACACTGGATGTTAAAGAGGAGGTTAATCACAGGTGTGTTCACCTGTTCAAAGCTGCATTTAAACTTGAATAAGATCTGCTTTTGCATTTTGTTTGGCATTTTGCATTTTTTTGTCATGGTGTTAGTCATGAAAAGAGCCTGAAGAACTGACAAGTAGTGGATATTCTTTCTTTAAAGGTCTGAATTTGGATTAGTTTCAGGACCAATTAAGCTCCTTTTCCACTATTTATTTGTTCTGTTGTTTGTGTAATAAACCACAATCCTTCTGAAAGTGGCTACACTTGTCTTGAGGCCTATATTTCTGACATCATGCTCTAAAACGCCTTGACTATTACTTGGTGTTTTGTTTTATACATGTGGAGGTTCAAAAACCAGAGGCAGCCATAATTTTCCATATCGTAAAACCTTCTCCATCGTGTACTACTGTTGCCTCTGTTCAATAAAAACACAGAACTGTGTGATATGAGCGGAAAATGGTGGAGAATTGTCCCATCCATTGTGTGTGTGTGTGTGTGTGTGTGTGTGTGTGTGTGTGTGTGTGTGTGTGTGTGTGTGTGTGTGTGTGTGTGTGTGTGTGTGTGTGTGTGTGTGTGTGTGTGTGTGTGATGATTTCTGATGTCATCGAGGAGCTTGGATATGTGATATCAGCTGATTTTCATTAGTCACTCATTAATTCTGGTCACAGCAAATGCTGAGAAAGATGCTGATGCTTTTTTCTTTTGGTTTGTTTTTCAGGGTGTAATTTAGATTTATTGAAGGATGTCAATAATTGTTTCTGGGATGCATTTTAATTCAGACCCTTATCATCTTTAGAAAGTCAAATGATAAAGAATAGGTTCTTGAATTACTTATTTTTTTAATTCGGAGACATTTTTGCTCTATCGTTCATAGTGCACAAATATTTCAGATCCACAATATTCTTGTGTTTAAATGTGAAATCTAAACAAAACTCTACCTGGATTTATGAAAAAATTAATGCTGTATCGATGGTGCAGAATGTGACTTTTGAGCTAAAATCAATTGGCAAGAAGACAAAAGGTACAAATTATATAAATGATTAAAAGGGCCCGCCCTGAACCTGCTGGAGTGTGTCGTGCATTTAAACCAGCTTTTTTTTGATATTCCATCAGAGTAAAGGAAGCCTGAGTGCTGCAATGTCAGAATTTCTTGGACACATTGTGCATAATTATAATAAAGATTTTGTGCATGACCTGTATTCTAATCTTTATCAAGAGAAGGATTTAGCAGCGTGCATATTTGGGAAGGTTATTTTTCTGTGACGCAGACTGTATTTGGTCTACTCGCTGCTCTGAACTTCCCTGGTCTTTCCTGGGTTGGCGGAGGGTGTCTCGGTCCAGCTGGATGCTGGTTTCCATGGCAGCGCTGGGAGATGTTTTGGGGGCTGTTGCATTGTGTAGCAGATGTTCTCTACAGGAGACGTGAGTGTTTGTGCAGATCTACAAAGTGGTGTTTTTGAGGAGGCAGCAGACACAAACATAACATGATTGTGACCCGAGCTGATTGTCACCACTGCAGTTACTGCTGCAATGTTACCCTGTTGCGTGAAACCTGAGTAATCTAACTCACAGCTATTAAGACATCCATTAAGCTATCATTTTTTGTGTGTGTGCTAGAAGAAAGGACCTCTTCTTTGCTGCATGTTGATGTCCTGTTGAGCTTGTGCACATTTCCTTATTCTCAGGTATCCGATACAGTGTGTGTGTGTGTGTTGTGAGCTAGTTAGTAACTGGATCACAATGAGTTTTTCACTCCTGCTCTTTCCTCAGGCACGGCACACGATGTGCAGGTGAAGTCGCTGCATCTGCAAACAACACACATTGCATTGTGGGAATAGCGTACAACGCCAGAATAGGAGGTGAGTGATTCATTATGTTGTTGTTCATTAACTGTTTGCGTTTTGTTTGTTTCGCTATTCTGGTTCCATATTTAATATGTCATGCTTGTGTTGCTGTCAACACTTTTCTTGATTGGGTTGCCAAGTTTCCTTGGCAGTAAATTTATTGCGGGCGCTCGCATGCATTTTTCTGTGTTTGTGCATCAGGTGTGCGAATGCTGGATGGAGATGTGACCGATATGGTGGAGGCTAGGTCTCTGAGCCTCAACCCGCAGCACATTGACATCTACAGCGCCAGTTGGGGACCTGATGATGATGGAAAGACTGTGGATGGGCCAGCATCTCTGGCGAGGCAGGCCTTTGAGAACGGCATCCGCTCGGTGAGCACATATCGGATTCACAAGAAGAAACAAAAATCCATTTTAATCTTTTTCAAACATGTATTCACATAGATCTACGTTTTTTAATCTGTGAGGCGTTTCCTCACATGAAACTATTTACCATGTATATTCGGTTAAGAGGATTTTTTAGGAAGTGAAACGGGATGATCAGTAAGGGGGGAAACTCTGACTAAACACAGAACGCTGGAAACTAAGTGCCTTGGACAGGAAAGAGAGAAAGAAACTTACTGACAGTGAGTGGAAGAGGTTCTCTGTAGCTCCTGTCAGGCTTGGCTCTGACTATGACAGAGGTGAGGGAGAAATCTGTCCAGCGTAAGTGGTATGTGCTAGCACGTGGGCCACTCTGAGTGTGTGTTTGTGTGTGTGTTAGTGAAATAGAGTGAAAATGGCGTGATTGTTAGTGTAAAGTGGACATGAATGACACTCCAAAGTGACAGTTTATTGAGAGCTGAGGTGTTAAAGGTAAACCTGGCAGCTGTGGAGAGAGCTACACTTGATGTAAACAAGTCCTACCTGGTGTGTTTAATGCTTTGACAGTTTTCACAATGTAAAAGAATAATTTCTGCAAACATGTATCCTCTCTCTCTCTCTCTCTCTCTCGCTCTCTCGTTCTCTCTCTCTCTCTCTCTCGCTCTCTCTAACTGCTTTTAAAAGCACTCTTCATCACTCTCATCTGCCAGCGTTTGCTCCTGACTGATCCCCCTCTCACTCAGAGGGGCTTCATGTGCTTATCACTGCCTGACAGAAGCCTTTTATTGAGAAACTCCATTTCACCATTTATTGCTTTGTGTGTGTGTGTGTGTGTGTGTGTCTTGACAAGTGGTGTGAATTTCAATGTCAGTCAGCCGTCAGATCCTTTTTTCATCGACTCCCGACCGAACTTTGCCCAGATAGCTCTTGCCAGCACAAGCACCGTGCCGCTTTAGTGTGACTTAGATAGATATTTTTATTCGGTCAACAACAAAAATTTATCAATTTTACAGGAAAGTAATCAAGCAACTGAAAAAAGGAATAGGTTGAAGCCTAGTGGCTTATAATTAGCCTACAGAGATAATCAAATCCTTATCCAAGACAAAAAAGTAGGGCTGATAGATAAGATGCATAACATTTAAAGAAAAAGCAATGATAAATCAAGAAATCAAATCAACACAAGGTTAGACATAAAACTAAGTTTATATAACTTTGGAAGATGTAAATTTTTTAATTTTTCTTGAAAAATGACAAAGAATAACACATCTTCAGTTCATCATTAAGTCCATTCCATAACTTCACTCCCAAAACCGACACACATCATTAATTCTCACTTTAGGTATTTCAAACATATAAGACCCCCTCAAATCATATTTTCCATCTCTTAATTTAAACATACTTAAAATACAAATTGGAACATTCTTTTTCATCACTCTATACATCATTTCTAAAGTTTTAAGATATATAATGTCCTTATATTTTAACATAGCTGATCCTACAAAAATTGGTTTGTGGACTCCCTATATCCAGCTTTATTTATTATTCTAATAGCTCTTTTTTGCAATTTAAAAATTGAATCCAGATATGTTTTGTATGTTTTCCCCCAAATTTCCACACAATAACTCATATAAGGCAAGCAAAGGGAAGTGTACAGTAAATAAAGGCAGCTCTTGTGCAATAAAGCTCTTGTTTTACAAAGAATAGAAATAGACTTGGATAATTTCCGTTTCACATGATCTATGTGAGACTCCAACAAAGTTTATCATCAATTATTACTCCTAAAAATTTAGTCTCACATACTCTTTCAATTTCAACATTATTTAGGTTCAGTTTTACTTCAATATTACTCTTAATACCTCCAAACAACATAAATTTTGTTTTACTTTCATTCAGTGATAGTTTATGAAATACAAACCATCTATTTAACTTCATCGATTCTGTTTCCACAGTTTTCAGTAATTCCTTTATGTTATATCCAGAACAAAATAAGTTTGTATCATCAGCAAACATCACATATTTTAAAATATCACTAGCTGTACAAATATAATTTATATAAAGTCAAAATAGCTTAGGTCCCAACACCGATCCTTGCGGAACTTCATTTGGTCCTGCTTTTTAAACCAAATCTCAAAGTTTTTTAAAGCAATGTATTTGTAACTGAAGTGTTGTGAAATAATGTGTAAGAGAAAAAGCTGACGCCAAACAATTCAGCTTCCTTCCTGTTCAGTAAAAACAATTGAACTACGTCTCTCAGGACAACGCGGAAAAAAACACAAAACAAACTTCTAACACAGCCACAAATTTTGCAATGCCAGCAGGACCGCTGCTATATTGTGATCTGGATGAACTTCACTGATGTTTTTGTAAGACTTGAGGTCTGTGGCTGAAAATTGAAAATCATTTCCAAATAAAAACTGATAAGAAATACCTGGGACTGGGTACCTGTGGGGGTGATGCAAGTTTTGATCCAGCTTATCACTTCCTGAGGGTGTCCATAGACCAGTCGTGGAAGACACCTTTTTACGAAGATAAGTGGTTAGAAGCACTCATGTACATTTTGAGTTTAAAAGTGTGGAACACTGAAAAAAAATTTTTTAATGATTATTTCTGATTATAATGAGTCACTCTGAGTTTTTCACGCAGGCTGAACATGTTTATAGTCTCCTACACCTCTCTCCTGCATTAGCTTCTGATAATAAACAGACGGTGAAACTCTAGGATTTGAAAATCCGGACACATCTATGTCACACTGTCACTTAACATTCACAGACTCACCCATCTTTACTCACGGCAGGGAAGACTGTTGACGATTTAGCATCCAGAAAACAACAGAACGTACTGACTTTTATAAGCTAACCGTTAGGATTGGCATCTTCACCACATAGCAAAAGCTCCTCTAGGCTTGTGTTATTTGTGGAGATTGTAACGTCCAGCAATGGTCAGTTTTGTACATATTGACCTAAATGCCACCGGTCATCTGCAGACATAAATTCTATTCTCTAAAGGGATTTTACATTCGATCTTCCAACAAGCCCAGAAGGATACTGCAAACCTTGTTGACATTTCAGGAGGAACAAGACATCAGCCTGTGTTCCCAAACAAAGCCTTCTTTTGATAACACCGCAGGATTGCTCACTCTCATGAAAAGGAACACTTTTACAACTCCTAAGTTAAATAATCATTAAATAATAATATGATTGAGTGACCAAATGTTATATGAATACTAATGAAATGTTTTGATTAATCTGTGCTTAAATTACTGTGGATGAAATAAAACATTTTGATATTATGATCAGTAATGTTGGTGTAACAATTGAATCACTATTTTCTGACAGCTCACACACTCAGACACGTGATGATGATGAGGTTAAGCTAATATCCTGACACATTGCTTTCTGTTCCACGAATCGGAACACCTGTATCTGATGCAAGGTGTGATGTTCTGAGGTTTGCTTGTTAACACCCCTTAACATGGCACGTCCCGGTTGGCCAAGAAATCATAACATGAGAATATTAAAACAGAGCTCATTTGACGGTGAGTCGGTTCTAGAGAAAGTTACGGACAGGCCATTCGGAGCGAACCTTCTTTAACCCAACGCTTTCGACAAGCTAAAAGCTGCCTACAGCCGACACAGCAAAACGGTTCCTTCAGCTATTCAGAAACAGCTGCTCTAGACGCAAATAATTTCATCCATCTGTTGTAATCCGGGAGACGACTCTGGACCGACCTGGTTGTACTGCGGTCTTTTCTTCAACTCTGATGCCGTTCTTATCAAAACATCTGATGCCGTTTTGATAAGAACCTACTTCATAGTTTAATGCAAACTAAATTCTTTAAACATCCAGAACTCAGTTCTTCTGGATACAAGGTTCTGATAAACGCACACCATTAAATCAACATACATCACATCCCATCCTCTTAGATTCATCCATCACAGTAGCCTTGGTTAACTTGTCATGTTTTTAATTGTTTAGAAAATCAATTTCTTATCTTTTATTAACCTGACTCTGTCTGAATTGAGACGAAGTGTGTGTTCTTCTGATTAAACATCCCAAGACGTAGCAGGTTGATATTCTATATTTATATAGAGTATCACAGCTTATTGGTCATAAGTAAAGGTAATATATTAAGCTTAAAAGCATCAACATTTACCCTCTACAAGATAAAACAACATCCACATTGCAAGTCAGTGGTAGAGTTGCATTGCTGTTATCCAGTCTGAGGCGACATGTCCACATATCAGGAAATAAGATGCTAAAACCTGCCATCTGATGCCCAGCTGTGATGTGGGTCACTGCTAGTTCCTGGAAATGGTGCACTGGTATATTTTTTCAAGATTGTTTAGCAGGTATTTACTTTATATATTTTTTCTACTAGAGACCACTGCAAATGTACTGATTAAAGAGTGAGCTACACCTTTAATGGTCTTAGTTCACTAAACAAGCATTATTTGAACCATTTTGCATCAAAATTACAATCACGGGACAGAATCTGCAATATTTAACCGCTAACTCTACTGAGGACTTATTTTGCTGTTCTTCCTAAAGATGACTTTCTTTTTATGATCAAACACAATAGAGATTTGAAATAGTCGTCTCTGTTCCTGGCAGGGGAGGAAAGGCCGTGGCTCCATCTTTGTGTGGGCTTCAGGTAACGGCGGGCGAAGCAGAGACCACTGCTCTTGCGACGGCTACACCAACTCAATCTACACCATCTCCATCTCCAGCACAGCGGAAAGCGGACGCAAACCCTGGTACCTGGAGGAATGCTCATCCACCCTGACTACCACGTACAGCAGCGGGGAGAACTATGACCGGAAGATCGTAAGCATCATAATGTGTGTATGTGTAGATGATCGAGTTGTTTGAATGAAATTGACCACGTCTTCTCCACCAACCCTCTGGAATGAATCAAAAAGGTTGGCTGAGCTAGCTTGTCTGGTTGTGTCTTGCTACATTCCTCATGTTGATGTGAAACACACACACATACACACAGATTTTGTGGCATGCTTGCAACTCGGTAACAGTAGAGCTTCATATATCATAATTTAGATTCATCTCCTGAAGCTCATTTGACCCTTTGTCCTATTTATACCATCTCTTTCACTTTGTGTGTGTGTGTGTGTGTGTGTGTGTGTTTCCTCGGATAATCCCTAAACTTTTTGGTCCAGAGAAATCCTTTGATGATGGTTCAGACTGGAGGTTGGCCAGGCTTTTCTTGGCTGACGGACTGTCAAGCTGATTTCTGAATAAAGTCCATACCGTCAAAGCTCTTTAATAACTTGTTTTATCACATCTTAGTACCTAATAAATGGTGCCATTTGTTTCATTGTGTTCATCTACTGGTTCTGTAAAGAAGTGTGTGTATGTGTGTGTTTATGTGGCAGTCTAGCACGGCAGCGTATCAAAGCTGGAATGTGTGTTTTATGAGTTTCAGGTGCCTCTTAATCTGCTCGGACTTTGGTCTATTGCTGTCACTGCGTCTTCACGTCTTTCATTTTATCGGTCTTGTGTTTCCCCACCATTTTGACCCTCTCCTCCTCCTCCTCCTCTTCACCAACAGATCACAACAGACCTGAGGCACAGATGTACAGACAGTCACACGGGGACATCGGCCTCGGCTCCCATGGCTGCTGCCATCATTGCTCTGGCCCTGGAGGCGAAGTAAGATCCACTTAACCTCATCCCATCATCCCTTTGTCCCTTGGTTAACCTCTAATGCCCTCGTGTTCTTTTACATTGTTGACCTAAGAGGGGAACACGTGAGACATTTATTTTGTGTTTTTATCTACAAATTTTTGCCACATTTGTGCAAATATTCACTAAAGAGCATGCTGATGCTATGTCTGTTAGAGCTGGATGCAGCCTTTTTGTACACTGTGCAGGTAGTGTGCATCAAAAGTCTGAGATGGTTTAAATAGCAGCTTGTGCACCAGAGTGAAGGGAGAAAGCTAGGAATTTAGGTAAAAACTACTCATCTTTGCCTGTTGTTTTACCCAGTGTGATGCTTGAATTTCTCTACTTTTAAAGGCCAAATTCATCGAGAAACCATTTTTTACTTTTTATTTTTGAAATACGATCGGTCGATCTGAGTTTACATGCAGGGTAAATGTGAAAATAGTCCTCTACCCTTATTTCCTGTATTAGACGCCAATAGAAAATAGACGAGGAAACGCTCGGATTAGAAAAACCAGTCAATTGCAAGTCATGCTCAAATTAACATTCACCCATCTTGGCTCGTGACCAGGAAAGGCTGTTGTTGATTTAGCGTCCAGGAGAGAGCAGAGCGTGTCTCGTCTAGTAGAAGCTTAGCCATTAGCATTAGCAACTCCACCACACAGCAGAACTCCTTCAGGCTTGTGTTATTTGTGGAGATAAAACATCAAAGTTGCAGCGCGAACAGAGCCAGTGGTGGAGTCATGTTGCTGTTAGCCAATCAGAGGAGAGGCATCCGAATATCAGGAACCAAGGCTCCAAATCGTGCTGCCTTCTGATCCCCTCTCCTCTGGCTAACTTCTAGTTCCTGATAAAGGAGCGCCAGAGCTTTTTTCCACAGAGATCGGCTCACAAGGCATTCATTTATGCTACAGACCAGTGCTATTGTGTTGAAGAAGAGCGAACTTGGTCTTTATGTGAGTGAGAAGCTTTTTCAGTAGGTTGGTTCTGAATCGGAGTAGAAAAAAAAACAGTGAAAAGCCATTCTGGCATTAAAAAACTCATCTCTTTTCTCAGAAGTAAATTTTACCTGTAATAATCCTACCATTGTCCTCACAGCTGCATTTAGCTGCAGCATGGATGTTCTCTAACAAGTCTTACCAGTAACTGTCCCAGACAGTCTCTTGTGTTGTGTGGTACATAAATCGGGATCTGGAGATGGGTGTAAACACATTATCATTTCTTTTGTTTATCCTGTGCATTTAATGATGCCACTTTGTATTTTGGGTTGTTTTCCATTTGTTGCACAGATGAAGTCATAAAAAACTCTTTTCACCTACTTTTAACTATTCAAACTATTAGAATGTAAATGCATCAAAAGGGCCTCTTTAAGACGTATCAGGACAGTCATGCAATTCAGACAGCACTGAATTTCAGCATCCAACGATAAAAACAAAGACTTAAAAAAATGTTTTGTTTTCTTGATTTAATTTCTTCTACTTCCTCTTGCTGTCTTTTCTTTAGGGGACAGTAGATGCTTCTTTTCTTTTGCCTTTGAGATTTTTTAAGGCCTTTACTTTATTATAAATTCATGAATTTGAAGCACAGTGCAGGTGCAGCAGCGACTCCGAATCAGTCCCATCATCACATGTTGGGCAGCTCAGATAACCGAGGTCACATCGATTAACCTGGATAATCCAATCCAAATCCCCCCATTTGAAAATATTCTCGGTTTCCAGGCAGTGCTTTCCTCTACGAGATTATCACACACGGTTTCTTCCCTGCTTGCTTTCTCTTTTTCTGCTGGCTCATTCTTGGTTTGCTTTTTTTTTTTAAACTCCTCCAAGGCAAACTTCTCTCTCTACTTTCTTTCACTCGGTGCATTCCTGCATGCGTGCACATGCCGCCACGGAGGACTGAATAAATCAAGGGACAGGGATACGATCTACTCCTGCTCTGTTTATTATTGATCTTATCTGTTTAATGAGAGCAAGCCAATCTGATCTAAACTTCAAGTGTTTTCTTTTGTTATTAATGTGGATTAGGATGCTCGAATTCTAAAACGACCCAAACAGTTTCTGTTTGTTTTTTTGTACATTTAGGATGTTGTGAGTGCACGATTCGGCACAGCGAGGTTTTAACCACTTCAGGAACATGTCAAAAAAGAAAGTTCTCAAGAAATCTTTGTGAGACAAAAAGGGAGATGAACAGTCTGGCATTAAAACATTTCCTTTTGTTTTTAGACAAACAAAACACACAGATGGGTGAAAATTTCAACTCATTTTCTCACCATGAAAGTATTTTTAAAGGTGTGGAGCACTCGTTTAAGCAGTTCATTTGCAGCGTTTTCTATTGAGAGTTGGGAGCAGACCGATATGTTGTTGATGTTTACCCCTTTTTTTTTTTTTTTTTTTTTTCATCGGCATCGGCCGATATTTGTTCTTAGTAAAGTCGATTTAAAGACAGGCACATCCTCGGGCAGCCCAATGGTGTTGCATAATAAATACTCCAGATTAACTTTATTTAAGTGTCTGACTTTAACACTGAGCAGTGCACCAAGTTAGTAAAATTCAGAGTTCAAAAACTGATTCAGCTTCAGATCTTTTGTGCATGAACTGTTGTTGTTAGTGATATTTTAGCATGAACATAAGGTGGAAAATATCTAAAAAACACTGGTGCATGATATCCAGGAACAAGAAGTGAGCCTCATCACAGCAGAGCTTCAGATGGCAGGTTTTGGAGTCTTATTTCCTGATATTTGGCCTCGGTTTGGATGAAAGCAACATGACTCCACCACTGACTCTGCTTTCTCTACGGCGTTAATATTTTATCTCCACAAAAAACACAAGTCTGAAAGAGTTCTGCTGCGTGGTGAAGTTGCCAATGCTAAAGGTTAGGTTAAAGTAGCCGAGACGTCCGCTGCTGATTCCCAAACATTAAAACAACAGCCTTCCCCGTTGTGAGTCAAGATGGGTGAGTCCATGAATGTTCAGTGACAGTGTGACGTAGTTGTGTTAGGCTTTTCAAATCCTAGATTTTCACTGTCCCATTTTCTATCAGAAGCTAATGCAGGGGATAGGTGTAGGAGACTATTTTCAAGTTTAGCCTGCATGAAAAACTCAGAGTGACCGATTTGTAGTCAGAAATAATCGTTACAAATGGTTTTTCAATGTTTCACACCTTTAAAATTAAAGCTACAGAAATAAAATGTTGGAGTGAGAAACCATAATCAAAAATATTATTTTAAAGTGAAATCTTCTGTTACTGCAGCAAACTAAGTTGATCCATCTTCTTCTTCCTCCCCTTTTTTCACTTCTTTTCCTGTGTGTTTTCATCCATAAGCAAATATTGGAGATCTTATTTGCAGCAGGTTTTTCCTGCATGTGAGCTTCTCTTTTAATTAGTATTGGCTTGTTTATGAGAAGCCGGTCATGGCCTAGATAGCGATGCCAAAGCCACTTTTAATTAATGACCATAAAACTTTAATGGTACCATAATTACGCAGTGGCAGCTAGACCTATTAATATTGATCTAAACATTAATTATTCTGACTTGTTTTGGGATCTTATCTGTGCTGCCACTCCTTATTTATTTTGCACCTAACAGTTTATCTTCAGCCATTGATGCTCCACATATGGGAGGATTTCTGTAAATGAATGACTTCTAAATGAAAAAAGTAAAGAATTTGCATGACTCAGTTTTATGCTTTCTTATTATCTTTTAGATTTAATAAAATGCTTAATAAATGCGTGACTGAAATATCCAGGTAGAGACACCATTCTCAGCATTGACTGGTGTATTTTTTGACAGATTAACATAAATTACACTTAATGTGACAGAATAAATTGCTTGTGCAAATCTCCTTTTGACTCTAATCCGGGAAAGTCTGCAGCTAAGTATGAGATGTGGAGATTTTCTCCCAGATGTTTTGTGTTTTAAAGATACCTGTTCTGGAACAAGCTACACTCACACCACCTTGGAATATTTTTATTAGATTATAAAATTCAAATGTTGATTTCTGGATTTAAAGACGGCTTTTTGATTAGGCTTTTATTTTTATTTTTGGAATGAATGTTTTGGAGGTCTCAGCTGGTGAGGGAGTGACACGAGGGAGGGAACGGAGCATCTGGCCAACATATGAGATTGAAGGGAATCCCAGGAAACTTGGTGACCCACTTCTTCCTGGTTTTTCCTTTAATGCAGTGTTTGGGCATCAAAGGACTTTAGACACATGGCTGCTATCCTATAATGGCTCTCACGTGAGATCTGAGAAACTCGCGTTTCATGAGCAAGCAGCTATGCTCTTCATCTGCGTCCTCTGTAATTTACTCTCGAACCTAATCTTCTACATGCAGAAGATTACTGTTTTCTTTACCTTATTTTCTGCTGCATCCTTTGTTCCTCCTTGGGCTTTGGTTTTAATCCACCTTCTTCCTTTTGTCCTTTACTATTTCATGTTCCTCTTTAATCTACCTGCCCCCCTCCTCCCTCTATTGTCTCAATTTACCTTCATGACAACAAAGATACGTTTGCATATTTGATAAGACATCTGTTCTTTTTAGTTGAATATAGTTAAATGATAAATGACCCACACTTGTATAGGGCCTTTCAGAGTCAGAGGACTCCAAAGTGCTTTACACTACAGTATATAAGTATAGTTCACATCATAAATTAATTAGAAACATTTTTTAATCTGCATTGTAAGTCCTGCACACCATTTTATTCACATACAATTCACACTAATATTTTGTTGGACCACCTTTAGCTTTGAGTGACATTGTTTCAACAAGTTTCTGCAACGTCCATCCAGTGTTGCATTAATGTTTCACCAAGATCTTGCATTGATGATTTTAGAGTCTGACCGCTGCACAAAGCCTTCTCCAGCACATCCCAAAGATTCTCTATGTGGCTAAGGTCTGGACTCTGTGGTGGCCGATCCTTGTGCGAAAATGATGTCTCATGCTCCCTGAACCACTCTTTCTATTCACTACCGATGAATTCTGGCATTGTCATCTTGGAATTTGCCCGTTCCATCAGGGAACATGGAATAACCTGGTCATTCAATTTATTCAGGTAGTCAGCTGACCTCATTCTTGGAGCACATCCGGTTGCTGAACCTAGACCTGACCAACTGCAGCAAGCCCAGATCATAGCACTGCCCCCACAGGCTTGTACAGCAGGCACTGGCATGATGGGTGCATCACTTCATCTGCCTCTCTTCTTATCCTGATGCGCCTATCACTCTGGATCAGGGTCCATCTGGACTCATCAGACCAGTTTTTAATAAAGTGATGGACAGTTCCTAACTCGGTTTTAGTCGTTTCTACAATCTTCTTATTCTGTTTGAAAAGGACCAGATCTTTGACTTGCATCAAGCAGAGAAAACATCTAACATCTTTTCCACAACCACCACATGTGTCTTTCCACTTGGTTGTTTAAAGAATGAGGAGCAACACATTGCACTAGTTGGGGTTAAATAACTTGTTGTCAGATGAAAGATAATCACTCATACAGTAAGTATCCAACAGGAGGCTTCTACCTATTTGCTTAGTTAAATCCAGGTGGTGACTAATTATTTTTGGCCAGGGAGTGAATGTTCATATCTTTAACATCTTTTTGTTCCACTTTTTATCTAGTTCCTGAAGGTTATTGGACATTGTGATTAATCAGTGGGTCGATCTGTGTTCTTCTTGCACCAGTCCTCTGCTTACCTGGAGGGACGTGCAGCACATTATCGTAAAGACGTCAAGAGCTGGACATCTCAGTGCTCCTGACTGGAAGACCAATGCTGCAGGTTACAACGGTATGCACACATACACATGCACACAGAGGAAGAATCATTATGTGTGTTTGTATAAAGGCTGCAGGAGACCCGAGGGTTATAATGTAATTGATGTAGCATCCAACCATATTTCTGCTAACTAAACATTATTTGAATAAATTTCCATTTATTTACAAAATTTCTGAATATTAAAACTAATTGGCTAAATATCAAAGGCTGTTTGTTTAAATAGATAGCGATGACAAAATGTATAAAATGTTGAAGTTGATTTGAAACGACCCACTCCATTTCTATTTCTTTTGACTGATTTTACTGGTATGAAGATTTTTCTCCCGTAACAAGTTTATTTGGCTGCTTTCCTCCATGACACATTCAAGCTGAGCTTCAGACGGCAGGCTTTGGAGTTTTATTTCCTGATATTTGGAAATCTCGCCCCGATTGGACAAAAGCAACACGGCTCTACCACTGACTGTTTTTTTCCAGTAAGTGGGACACGGCAGAGACGGCCACAATTTCTGTCCGTTTAGCTGAATTAGGATAAGTTTGACACTAAAATCTGAGCATGCTGAATCTCAAGTCAAACTTTGTTATGCACACAAGTGGGCTTTACCCTGGTCCGGTTCAAGAAGATGAGTGTTTTGGAATTCAAAATGAAAAACATCCCAGATATTAAATAGAGGAATGTGCTAGAATTCCCTCATGAGCAGGAATGATTCAGAGTTATTGGAAATGTTCAGCTGCGTTTATCCAGGATCATCGGGAGGTCACACCCGCTAATAAAACCCGTTTCTCTGTTGACGGATATACAATTTGTTTACTTGACTAGATTAGATGTTGAGATGTGAGATGTTGAGACTGTTTATATAAAGATTTCATCCAAGTTTCAGTTGATTTTGTAAAATGATACTTATTTTTTTCATTACAATAATAAATCAAACATAAAAGTTGATCTAATAAAAGCTCAAGGCTTTCTGATGGAGCTTTACTTAGGCGAGACACACACAATTATGTGAAATTAAAAATTATACCCTTGAGATGATTTTTATACATTATTTTTAAATCATACAACTAGTTGTGTTCAGTCAGAGGAGGGGTGCTGGGGTCGGTTCCCCAAAGGTTTAGTTCTTGCTTGCTAAGTATTCTGCCGCCAGCTGCCATCTGTCAGGGTCCATGTGGTGGGTGCTATTTTGTAACTTTCAGCGCATGATTAACGCATACCTGTGCGTGTGTGTGTGTGTGTGTGTGTGTGTGTGTGTGTGTGTGTGTGTGTGTGTGTGTGTGTGTGTGTGTGTGTGTGTACGTGTGTGTACGTGTGTGTGTGTGTGTGTGTGTGTGTGTGTGTGTGTGTGTGTGTGTGTGTGTGTGTGTGTGTGCGTGTGTGCGTGCGTGCGTGCGTGCGTGCGTGTGTGGGAGAGAAACCAAGAGAGGGAGAACTAAGGGTCAGCCATGCTGCAGGCTCTGTGTGCCTGGAGATTTTCCAAGTGACAGAACTGAAAAAGGAGATGGAGATGTATGAGAGGAAATTATGTTTGATTATGTGAACCAATAATTGTTTATTTTTTAGAATTTTGCCTAATGTGGCGTTAGGATTTTATTAAAGGTGTGGAACTCTGAAAAACATTTTTAAATGACTGTTTCTGATTATAATCACTCTGAAGCCCTTTTTAGAAGACACCCCATGCTGGCAAATCAGCGTAATACCGCCACCACGGCGCGTCTTATGAAAGCGCCGTGGCAGCATGACAATGTGGAAATTATGTGGCATTCGTGCCAGCGCACTTGGTAGTAATGTTGCTGCAACACTGGACAGAGGGTGGTGTCATGATCATGTGTAGAATTGTTGCCGGCAGGAAACGATTTAGAAAATGAAGGTAAACGCGGGCAATAAGTTTTGCTTTTTGAACAGAATCAGCTGAGATGATAAACTGGAGCGATGCAGAGCTCCAAGAGCTTCCCTCCATTATAGCTGGAGCTCAGATCACCTGACCATTCACAAGCGGCTTGTTAACAAAAACTTAATGAGCGCGGCTTTGATCACAATAAAAAGCAAGTTATGTCCAAGTTAAATGGAGGTCCGTGGCAGTGTAGAGACTGCCCCCGTACCACCTTTATACTCCCTAATCTTTTGTAAAAATGACACAATTGCGCCACATTACCACCTCATTCTGACCACTTTTAAATGACCTAAGGCTCCCTGGTGCCGACTCAGCAGTTGGCAGCACTGTTTTCTAAAAGAGTTTTGAGGATAGTCTCCTACACCTATCTCCTGCATTAATGTCTGATAGAAAAAAGACTTTGAAACTAAAGGATTTGAAAAGCCTGACCTTTCTACGTCAGGCGGTTGCTTGGACTCACCCACACTGACTCACAACGAGGAAAGCTGTTGTTGTTGTTTTAACGTCCAGCAAACAGCAGAAAACATCTCTGCCAGCAGAAGCTAACCATTAGCATTATCAAATTCAACCACACAGCAGAAGTTCCTCCAGGCTTGTGTTATTTGTGAAGATAAAACACCTATGTCGCAGAGCAAATGGAGTCAGTGGTAGAGTTGTGTTGCTGTTATCCAGTCTGGGGCAAGATGTCCAAATATCAGGAAATAAGACTCCAAATCCTGCCGTCTGCTGCCACTCTCTGATGCAGCAGACTTGTCCATGCTGATCTATGACATTTCTGGGCTTTTCTTGCCCCGAGTACTGTTGGCAAGGCATTAATTTCTACCAGAAACCATTGCAAATATGTTGATTAAACTAATGTCCCAGACCTTTAAAGCCGGGCGTACACTGTGCGACTTTTTCACTTTTTTGAGCCGATTTTCCAGTCGTGCGAGAATCCACGACATCGGGGCGAGTTTTGCGCCGAGCGTCGTGTAGTGTACAGGGGGTTACGAGAGGCGATTAACACCACGTGACCAGCCGCCGATCAGCAGTCGTGAGGTCGCAGGGACTTCTGGTGTGTTTAATATTTCGCTCGTCCCTCGTGAGGGTATCGCACTGTTGAAGCGGCGCTGCGAGCAGCTACGATCCAAAAAAGTATCAGAACCGCTCACGGCGCATGCGCGCGCAATCCTGCATCAACGCCGGTCGCCCGCTATTTCCCTAATAACACACGCTGTTCGTTTTTGTTTCTACACGTTTTTTTTACTCACAAAGATTGTCAAGAAAGCGTGTTTGTCGTGTTCGTGTGAAATTAAACTGATCACAAAACGCAGATTCACTTTCTTTATTTCGTTTTCCTCATCCAACCCCATAAATCCCTGTGTGTCCTCCTGCAGCACTCCCGAAGGACATCAGGCAAGACAAAAAAGTCTGACGTGTTGAGTAAAAACGGCTATTTTTAGCACATTTTTAGGGCCGACGTGTTGCTACCAGACGTACAGTGTGAGCAGTCAGGTCGCATGCGAGAACTGGGTCATGCAGTGTGAGCACATGACTCGTGAGATCTGCTCTGCGAGGAAGTCGTACAGTTTGAGCTGAAGCTGAACGCTGCAAGTGAAAAAGTCGCACAGTGTACGCCCGGCTTAAAGGAAAACAAAAAACATCTTAAGTTTTCACAGGAAACAAAGGAGGGCTTTGATGTGCAAAACAGCAATCAGCAAAGGAATGGTTTGATCAGTTTTTGGGTGTTGTTGTTTCTGCAGTCAGCCACCTATACGGCTTTGGCCTGATGGACGCCGAGGCCATGGTGAAGGAGGCAGAGCAATGGAAGCAAGTCCCTTCCCAGCATATCTGCATGGAGAGTGCAGACCGTCAGTTCAGGTAGCAAACACCTTAATGAAAGCTGCTAGTCTCCTTTTTCACTTGGTCCGAAAGGCTATTGACGTCATTGTTCTGTGTAGGGCAGCCAGTCGATTACTGCATTTGTTTTTGAAACCAAACTGGAAAACAAAGACGCCCCCCCAAAAAAAAATCATGTCAAAAAATTCTCATAACATTCTAGCGCTTTAGCATCTGAGCTAACTGAGAATAGGTGCTGCCTTCTAATGAGTTTAAGATATAGGAGCCAAAACAAAGGCACACAGACTGGTATGTCTACATAAAATAATTCTGATGGTCTGCTGCGTACCTTCTTTGGTTAAACATGAGTAAATGTGTGCATTGGACACGGTCTGACACTAGTGTTTGTGTTTACACATCTAACCAAGCAGTATGCCAACATGGTTGCATTATGAATGAGAACTGGCTGGTATTTATGTGCCTGGCTTTGAAACTCTACCCCTCTTGTCTCTGTGTTTACCCCCTGTCTCTCTCTCTCTCTCTCTCTCTCTCTCTCTCTCTCTCTCTCTCTCTCTCTCTCTCTCTCTCTCTCTCTCTCTCTCTCTCTCTCTCTCTCTCTCTCACTGAGTTGTACCGTCTTTCCTTTCTTATTTTTTTTCTGTCCCCGGTGTTTTGCACTGGCATGTGTTTTAGAGTGTGGTTTTGCAAGCTGTACCTTGATAGGGGCCAAGCATTAGTTCTGGCATGGTGGTTCTCACATAAGACCTTTACTGTTGCACACACACACACACACACACACACACACACACACACGCACGCACGCACGCACGCACACACACACACACACACACACACACACACATACATAGAGAGAGCCAGGGCTTCATAGCTTGTTATTCTTGATGCAGCTGGAAGCCTGAGCGCTGTTCTGTATTAGGCTGGCTGGCTAAATTCAGGCTCTGAACTGGTTTGCTTTCAGTTGAAGGCTCAGTGGCCAGAAACTGCAGCATTATCAGTGTCATTCTGTCTGTTCTGCTCCAGTGCTCGAGTCGACCATATGAGGATTATGTAAAGTCTGACTTGTGTCAGAAGCAGTCACCCTCAGGCATTTGTAGTCGTGTAATGTGTGTTGGCTAATGCGTGAAATGAATAAACCCCGTCAGTTTAGCCTCTTTGTTCTTTTTGCATTGTGTTCAGGAAGGGCTCCGGGACAAGCGAATGAGACATCTTTCCATCAATAATGACCAGTTCCTGTAAAGGACTGGAATTTGTTTTTATTTTCTGTTGTAATTAAGACAAAATAGAAAGTCTGAAAAGAAACACCTTCCATCAGCTCATTATTTACATTTTTACATGATTGTATTTGTGAGCGGCTGTGCAGTGGCGCAGTGGTCAGAGCTGTTGCCTTGTAGCTAGAATGTCCTGGGTTCGCTTCCCGGCCTGGGATCTTTCTGCATGGAGTTTGCATGTTCTCCCTGTGCATGCGTGGGTTCTCTCCGGGTACTCCGGTTTCCTCCCACAGTCCAAAAACATGACTGATAGGTTGATTGGTCTGTCCAAATTGTCCTTAGGTGTGAGTGTGTGTGTGCATGATTGTCCTGTGTGTCTCTGTGTTGCCCTGCGATGGACTGGCTCTCTGTCCAGTGTGTACCCCTCCTGATTGCCCGTTGACCGCTGGAGATAGGCACCAGCCCCCCGCGACCCTGCGTAGACAAGCGGGTTCAGAAAATGGATGGATGTATTTGTGAGGATTTTACTTACATATTTGCCGGCACATCTGCCTGGAAGTTTGTTGCCTGAGTGTAACTTCCCAGAGTCGGCGTAGACGTCACCTTTCTGCTGCTGTTTTTTTTTCCCACCTCCTGTGGCTGGCCTTTCTGACTATGTTTAGTAATGCTTGTCTGCAGCTGAACCTCTGCACTCGGTTTGGAGCATGCACCGGGAAAACGACACAATCTTTGTGCAATCAGGCTGGTAGTAATCAGCTGTGCATCTGCTCTGCTTGGTCCCATGTGTACGGTCCAGTTATTGGAGCTGAGCAACGGAGAGGCCAGAGCTGTTGTGTCAGCTCTGAACTCCCCTGACGGTCATTGGAAGAGACTGTTTTTCGTTCCGTGAAGTCTGCTTGAGTTAATGTTTACCTCTTTCTTGTCTTTAATGTTAAAATGTTCGCAGACTGTCAATCAGATGGTCGGTCAGCCCTCCACTAACCTCACTTCAAGGATAAATGACGAAAAACGTAAATGGCCTGTATTTGTATAACACCTTCTTAGGATTCTACAACCCCCCAAGGCGCTTCACAACACAATCAGTCATTCACTCACACGCTGGTGGGGATGAGCTACGATGTAGCCACAGCTGCCCTGGGGTGCACTGACGGAGGCGAGGCCGGTGCCACCGGTCCCTTCAACCACCACTAGCAGGCAAGGCGGGTGAAATGTCTTGCCCAAAGACACAACAGCAGCTTTCTCTGGTCAGAGCCAGGATCCAACCTGCAACCTTCTGATCACTAGACAACCCGCTCTACCCAACGAGCTACTGCTGTCCCCTGCTGTACATTTGCTTTGTTTTCTTATTTTACATCGGCCTCTCTAGTTTCACGCAACATGAATGTTATGATTATTCAGATTTACAAAGCAAACTTTTGTTAAAGAGCGGGGTGATTGAGAAACCATTTTTATTTTTGTACTTTTTGAAATGAGATGTTACTGATTCCATGCTGTAGTTCTTTTTTAAAACACAGAGCAGTTCTGTTTACCTGAGGAAGTTAACCTCCGCAAACGAAACGTAGCGGGAAACAGGTAAATAGAACTGCCCTGTGTTTTAAAAAAGAACTACAGCATGGAATTAGAGAAATGACACAGCAAGAACACGCCTAAGATGATGTTACGGAGTTTCACATGCAGACTGAACATGAAAATAATCTTCCATCCCTATTTCCTGCGTTAGCTGTTGAGAGAAAATGGACGGGAAAAGGCTCAGGTCAGCAAAAGCCTTACAGATCTATGTCACACTGTAAATTAGCATTCATGCACTCATGCATCTTGGCTTGCAACAGGGAAGGCTATGTGGTTGGTGTCCAGGAGAGAGCAGAGCATGCCTTGGCTAGTAGAAGCTAACTGTTAGCATCAGCATCAGGCTTGTGTTATTTGTGGAGATAAAAAATCAACGTTGCAGAGCGAATGGAGACAGCGGTAGTCATGTTGCTGTTAGCCAATCAGTTGCAAGATGTCTGAATATTATTATTATTAATAGTAATGAGCAAGATCGCTAATCTTGCCATTTTCTGACCGCCTCTCCTCCGGCTAACTTCTATTTCCTGAAATAATCACACAAGGAACACGAGGCATTAAGTTTTACTAAAGACCACAGAAGTTGCATTGAAAAATTACAGAATGAGAGCTTTAAAGGTGAGGAACTATAATAGGTCACTCAGTTTTTTATGCAGGCTGAAAATGAAAATAGTCTCCTACACCTATCTCCTGGATTTGCTTCTGATAGAAAATAGACATTAAACGCCGGGATTTGAAATGCCGTGATGGGGAAGGCTGATGTTTTAGAGTCCAGGAAACGGCATTGAATGTCTCTGCTAGCAGAAGCTAACCGTTAGCATTAGCAACTCAACCACAATGCAGAAGCTACTCCAGGCTTGTGTTATTTGTAGAGATAAGTATCCATGGCGTAGAGTAAAATAGTCAGTGGTAGAGTAGCGTTGTTAATAGCCAATCAGAGGGGAGATGTCCAAGACTCCAAAACCTGCTGTCAGCGCTTCTGACTTGCATCAAATTCGTTCCCACCAGGGTCCGCTGCAAATGTATTGGTTAAATGAGTATTCAACCCCTTTAATTTTAAATAATAAACAGGTAGAGCTTTATTGCAAGTACTGATTGGTTAAAAAAAAGCACTTTTCCATTTTCCTGGACGCCTCCCCGGGGAGGTGTTTCGGGCATGTCCTGCCGGCAGAAGGCCCCCGGGTCGACCCAGGACACGTTGGAGAAGTTACATCTCCAATCTGGTCCGGGAACGCCTTGGGGTCCTGCCGGAGGAGCTGGTGGACAAGGCCGGGGAGAGGACGGCCTGGAGCTCCCTAGTTGGGATGCTGCCCCCGCGACCCGGACCCGGATAAGCGGAGGAAGACGACGACGACGACGACTTTTCCATTTTTTAATGTTTCTAAATGGACAACTTTGAGCCTCGTTTTTCACTCAACCGAAAACAATCTCAAACAGCTTATTACCTCTCAGTGATTATTGTTTTAAAGATAAACATCCATCAGTCTGGCACTACAATCGTTTCTGTGTTTGTTATCGTGACGGCAGGGAATTTAATAAAAATTTCTCAAAACGCGGTTCAAGCATCACACGTCACTGACGGTCTTTCAGCCTCTTCAACTTGCAAAAACATACCAGATGTTGATTTGCCAGCAATCATAATTCATCTGCTCTGTTTTCAGTTTCGTCTAAGTAAACTTTGCGTTTTAATCCCACTGATGCAATAAGCTGATGTGTTCTTTCTGCTCAGCAGAACCACCATTTTTTAAATTTTTTTTTGTCGTTTTGGCTGGCAGGATGCTATTCATTCTCTGGTGCTGTCTCTCTTTGGTGTTTTATTGTTATTGTATTAGATCATACCACGATGTTATTCAAGGGGCCCTTAGATGTTTGTCTTGGCTCTTCAGAGCTCTTTCTGCTGCTGAGCTGCACACAGCAGACCAAGCAAACATTTCTCTTTGTCTTTCTTATCAAGCTCTTTATTTTTATTTTTTTTTTGTTTTTTTGCTGGTTGAGGTTTAGGAACTGGGATTTGTATATCTGACTGTTTTGGGGTGATCTGATGATTGATGTCTAATTGTATTAGTCATAAGCCTCATCTGCACACTGAGGCTTATTATGGAATCAAATTCACGAGACTAAAATTCACTCAATTCATTCATAAACATTTTTATTGCTATTTAGGAAAAAAACGTCAGCGTGAACGGATCGACCTGTCAGAGGCTGAGCTCAAATGGAGCACGTGCAGGTTGTGTCGCGGCGTGCTTTCCCTCCTGTTTACCTGTCGACCCGCTGTCCCTCTTGTCTCAACAGATCCATCCGTCCAGAGCACGTGCTTAGGTCGGTGTACAAGGCAACCGGATGCGCCGACAACCCCAACAGTCACGTCATCTACTTGGAGCATGTGGTCGTGCGTATCACCATTGCACACTCTCGCCGAGGAGACCTGTCAATCAACCTGACTTCACCATCGGGGACCAAGTCCCAGCTGCTTGCTAACAGGTACCAAACCCACACATATGAATGCTAACCTGCAGCACATTAGCCAGTGAAAATTAGTAATATGTTTTCCTTTTATGTCATAATCAAAGTGAACACTGGAGTGTTCTAACTGCTGGGGACTAGATTTTCAAAAGAAATTTCACTCTTTTCCTTTCTGACGTAGTCCCCCACACCATCCTTCTTATGGCCCTTTGACCACCGAGGGGCTCCCGGTCTAAATGCTATGAACCCCAGATGTAGGTGTTAATAAACTGGTGGCCAAGCAGACATATTTACTCTTATTTCTGCCAGTGGAACGACTAGAGAAAAGCACCAGTCTCATCACTCCTTTATTAAAACTGCCCTGCAGACATGATATTAAAACCCCTCCTCTCCTCCCTAGTCTCTCCTTTCTCTAATGTGTACATCACACTTTTATTATACTTTAAACCCTTAGACCAGGCGTGTCAAGAATGTTCAAAGAGAAGGTGAAAACAGTTAAGTTAGAAGTCCTCAAGGGCCACAAAATTTAGAATTTTGTTGTATGAAAGGTAATATTGGGACTACACATAAATAGCTTGCATATTAGAAAAATAATCACAGCATAACAATGCTGTGTGTTGATCTACAATCTGTTGCACAGACAAAATTTCACCATTCTTGAAATGCCACAGGGGCCGCAAAAAATCCCTACAAGGGCCGTAAATGGCCCCCGGGCCACACTTTAGACACGCCTACTTTAGGCTTATATGTGGCTATTGACACATTCATCTAGATAGTTTTAGCTTTGATGAAATGAAATTACTGAAATTGATTTCAAGCAGTAGCCATCTTATTTTTTGGGTTAATGGTTAAAATTTCTTATTTTATAGTCAAACCTTGATTATCTTTAACTTCAGCTGCTGGTTGAGATCGTTTGTAGTACTCAATTTGATTCTGAACCAGTTATAATTGAGTGTGTTTGCAAACGGGTGTGTATCTGATGCACAGGTTATTTGATCACTCCATGGAGGGCTTTAAGAACTGGGAGTTTATGACCACCCACTGCTGGGGAGAGAAGGCATCAGGGGACTGGGTCCTTGAGATCTACGACTCTCCTTCTCAGCTTCGAAGCCAGAAGTTACCTGGTAACCACAGCAAAATAATTATATTAAGATTTTAATCACAAGTGTCTTACCTTTTTCATTTATTTCCATTGATGGATTTGAAGTGCAAATGGGTTACATCATCTAAGTTTGCATGTTTAAAAAAGCGTAAATTTACTCGTTTTCCTGATTTTGTTGTGAAAGGCAGATTTTACGTGTTATGCATAATTAAACACCTGCTCACCTGTTTTCACAGGAAAGCTGAAGGAGTGGTCGCTGGTGCTTTACGGCACCTCTGTCCACCCATACTCATCTATGCATTCATCTCTGCACGCTGAGAAGCAGCCTCGCTTCACTGACATGCTGCAGCCCGTTGAGGAGGAGTTCACGGAGGAGTACAATGGTGAATAAAAAGCTCAAAATAAAATGATTGAAAATTTTCTGTCTCCGTGAGAAACAAGACCATTTATTTTATATCTGTTTGTCTGCAGGTCCCTGTCACGCTGAATGCAACGATGGCTGTGAGGGTCCTGGACCCCAACACTGCAACAACTGCCTCCACTACTTCTTCAAGTTTAAAAACAACACCAGGTCAGATTGCTTTAAAACACCACCCTGGGGTCACCATTCCTGCTAGAAGAAGGTCAAAATAGTCATAAATAAATATGATGGGAAATTATAAAAGCCCCATTGCTGATTTGGAAATGCTCAGCTGGTTTGCAAAACTGCAACAGGTGAATTTTCTAAACCCATTTTGTTTACTAGTCTTCTCAAAATTGATGATTTTACAAACAACACAGAAGGATTCTTACATTTTTAGAAAACATGAATCTTACTTAGTTGGAACAGAGGGTTTCTTCTCTAAACCAAGCTCAGGTCACATGTTATTCCGCTATTCATCAAATCAACAAGTGACTCGGACCAATTTAATCTCATAATTTAATCTTATAAAACCTGGTTTAGGAGTGTAAACGTGTATATCTGTGCATCTACTCTGGGTCTAAGATCCCATTAGGATCAACGTCTGTAGTAATTGCCTTTGTGTTGGTGTGTCGCTGTGCTGATAAAAGTCAGACTGGTGCCGGTGTATGAGAATGTGTGAGCTTGGCTGCAGCTTAACATTAGGCCACATTAGAGGAGTTCTGCCCTTTTCAGCCACCACAGGGACCAACTGATGAATGGGGCTGGGGGATGGGGCAAGAGATGAAGGGATGTCAGCCTGAGGCGCCTAGTGTTTAGTTAATTACAGCTCAACGTGGATGTTTGATAGTTTGTGCTCATCTAAAGGTGCTGGTTCTTTAGAACATTTTAGTTTGTAGCAGGTTCACATGCAGTCTGAATGTAAAAATGGTCTTCTACCTGGTTTAGTGTCCAGGAGAGAGCAGAGCATGTCTTAAGTAGTAGAAGCTAAACGTTAGCGTTAGCATTTTCGCCACACGTCAGGACCCCTTCAGGATTTTGTTATTTGTGGCAATGAAACATCAATGTTACAGAGTGTACAGAAGCAGTAGAAGAGTAGTGTTGCTGTTAGCCAATCAGAGGTGCAATGTCAGAATATTATTAATAGTAAAACTTCAAATCCTGCAGTTTTCTGCCCTCCTCTCCTCCAGCTAACTTCTACTTCCTGAAATAGTCACACAAGAAATGCAAGGCATTTATTTTACTAGAGACCACAGAAAATGCGCTGGGAAAAAAAGACTAAAATGACTAAATGAGAGTAAAACGCCAAACTCTGCTGTTTTCTGAGCTTTTTTCCCACAGAAAACGATTCATAAGGCAGTCATTTATACAGGTGAACCTTGAAAAAAATTGAATGTGGTGCAAAAATCCATTTATTTCAGTATTTCAACTTAGACTGAGATACCATCTAAAAGCTCATCACCATCATCATCATCATCATCATCATCATTTATTTCTATAGCACCTTCCACTACCTTGGTAGCAGCCCACTTTCACGATAAAAAAACTGAAGCCAAAGCATAGTAAAAGAATATTAAAAAACACCCTCAGACAATAAAAAGGTAAAATAAGTAATAATAAAAGTGAACTTAAAAAATGGCTAAACAATAAAATAATAAAATCACAATAAAACCAAGACTGACTTGTGACTCAACGGGAAAAGGCCATTTGGTAAAAGAGCGTTTTAAAACAAGACTTAAAAGACTGGAGGGATGGTGCCTGCCTCACAAGCAAAGGCAACACATTCCATAAGCTTGGGGCCACCACAGAGAATGCACAATCACCCCTAGATTTGTATCTAGAGCATGGTACTTCTAAGAGTTCCCTTTCTAGGGAATGCAAGGCCCTTGAGGGGGTGCCTGTATGGAGCAGTGAGGAGAGATGGTTGGGGGCAGTTCCCTGTAGGGCCTTATGCAGGCTCAGGAACTCTTTTTGTAGGTGTATTTGCTTCATTAGCTGATTAGAGTGTGACACTTTGAGTTTAGACAACTGAACCTTTTCACAATATTCTCATTGTCTGGAATTTAGAGTTTGGGGTTTTCATAAGCTGTAAACCATAATAATCACTAATATAACAAACAAGATTGTGAAATTTTCACTTTGCATGCTACGAGCATCTCATATATCCATTTCAAGATGAATTACTGAAATAAATGAAGTTTTGCACAATTTAGAAAATTTAGAGTTTCACCTGTACTAGACACCACAGCAGATTTATTGTGTTGATGTATTTAGCAGCTTTAAACTTGTGGTTTTGTTAACGTTGATTAGTTTTCCAAATAAATCAAAGAGATTTTTAACAATGTCTTAAAAATGTTGAACTTTGTATGATTAGTTAATAGTATCCTTCATTTACACTCCCAGAAAGTTTTATTAAATTATTATTCAGGTCATTCAGGGGTTCTGGAGAGGAGGGTCCATCTAACAGTTGAACCTCGGATTTGGAAGGAATAATGTGGTTTTCGTCCTGGCTGTGGAACAGTGGACTAGCTCTATACCCTTAGGGGGGTCCTGGAGGGTGCGTGGGAGTTAGCCCAACCAGTCTACATGTGTTTTGTGGGTTTGGAGAAGGAGTTCGCTTGCATCCCATTAGGGTGCCCTGTTGTGTGTACTCCCGTAGTATGGGGTACCAGGCCCTCTGATACGGGCTGTTAGGTCCCTGTATGACAGGTGTCAGAGCTTGGTCTGGAATTGCCGGCAGTAAGTCGAGCTCGATTCCAGTGTGAGCCTGACTCCACCAAAGATGCCCTTTATCACAGATTCTGTTCATGACTTTTATGGACAGGATTTCTAGGTGCAGCCAAGTTGTTGAGGGGATCTGATTTGGTGGCCTGAGAATTGGGTCTCTGCTTTTTGCAGATGATGTGGTCCTGTTGGCTTCATCAGAACGTGATCTCCGGCTTTTGCTGGAGCGGTTTGCAGCCGAGTTTTAAGCATCTGGGTTGAGAATCAGCTCGTCTAAATCCGAGATCATGGTCTTGAGTCAGGAAATGGTAGAATGCCTTCTTCGGCTCAGGGATGAGGTCCTGCCTCAAGTGGAGGAGTTTAATTATCTCGGGGTCTTGTTTGCGAGTGAGGGAAAGATGGAGCATGACGTTGATAGGCAGATTGGTGCTGCGTCTGCAGTGATGCGGGCATTGTCCCGGTCTGTCGTGGTGAAGAGAACCGAGCCAGGAGACAAAGCTCTTGATTTACTGGTCGATCTATGCTCCTACCCTCACCTACGATCACAAGCTTTGGATAGTGACCGAAAGAACAAGATTTCAGATAAAAGCGGCTGAAATGAGTTTTCTTCACTGGGTGGCTGGGCTCTCCCTTACAGATAGGTTGAGTGGCTTGGGCCAGGATGCCTCCTGGACGCCTCCCTGGTGAGGTTTTCTGTGCACGTCCAACTGAGAGGAGGCCTAAAGGAAGACCCGGGACACGCTGGAGGGACTATGTCTCTCTTCTGGCCAAGGAACGCCGTGGGATTCCGCCGGAAGAGCTGGCCCAAGTGACTGGGGAGAGGGAAGTCTGGGCCTCTCAACTTAGGCTATTGCCCCCGCGACCTGATTCCGGATAAGTGGAAGAAAATGGATGGATGGATAAAATATTTCTCTCTATTCTTTCTTTACAATAAATTATAATATTGTGAAAGTTATGTTTCATGCGTTTTTAAAGTACTTCTTTTGGGTTTTATTATCTAACTAAAGTGAAAGATGATCCACAAATCTTGGTTGCAGATTTGGCGAAAAAGAAAAACAAACAAACATGAAGATGAGTTTGAAAAGACAGACGAGGTTTGGATTTGAGTAACTCCTGACACACATTTGCACTGACTGTGAGTTCAGCGCAGCAGAGAGAGCAGGTGTGGAAGGTGTGCAGTACGAACACGTGCCAGTGTGTGCTTTCACACATGAGTTAAGTGTCTCACTCGTGCCAGATGTGTTTCTTGGCAGAAAACTCTAGTGTGTGTGCAAAGCTTAAAGAGTGTGTGTTTGGGGGGTATTTTGTGCTCTTGAGGATTTAGAGGTCTTTTTCACCTCGATTAAGTTTCCTGTGGGTGAATCAGAGGGGGTGGCACGGAGCAGGGAAGTCCTCCAGCAGATGTTCACCTACACACGCACGCACACACACGCACGCACACACACACACACACACAAAGGTATGATCTAAATGTTTTGTAAAACACTCTTTTCCTCCTTTTTTCCCAATCCCCTCTCGTTTCAGGATGTGTGTTTCCGAATGCCCAAGTGGCTTCTTCCGTGACGACAGGAAGCGCTGCAAGAAGTGCTCCTCTACGTGTGAGACTTGTGTCGGGAGTCGCAGCGACCAGTGCATCACGTGCAGACCCGGTTTCCACTTCATTGAGGACTCCAACACTTGCGTCGTTAACTGTGGCGACAGCTTCTACCTCGACAGGGGTACGCTTGTGTGCACGTGTGGCGCCTCGTAATGCAGTCAGGCAATCTTGATATTTGAAAAGGATTCCTTTAACATTCTCTCTCTCTCTCTCCTCTCGCTCTCTCTCTCTCTCTCTCGCCACTACAGAAATAGGAAATGACTGCTCAGCTTTGATAGTTCAAACTATTTACCCTCTATCAGTCTATTGATGCTCCTGGCTGCAATGATAAGAGTATTGAGCTAAATTCTTGCTGGATGGAGAAAGTTTTCCACAAACGGGAAAGTAGACTGGACCTTTTAAATAAAAACATCTGTTTGCCATCTGTGTTACAAAAAATGTAATCTGCAAAAACTGCTTTTACCTTCCAACTTCAAGCGATGCCATTTTATCTTTGATCTAATGTCTAGCCACTTGTTTATTTTCTCACACTTGCTGAATCCAGCAAGAAAAAAATTCTGCTCTAGCAAACTGGCTTTTCTTCCCCTAAAAGTTAGCCATAAAAGCAGAAAAAATCTCTTTTTTTTTTACTGATTTATTTTTGGTTTTTTATAATTAATAGATTTGTGCAGTCCTGTTCATTCGTGGCACACATTAAAATGAGATGTTCACGTCTTGAACATGAGTCAAATCTACATCCCAGCCTGGACGAATGCATATGAGGAACAAAAGACTCAATGCATCAGTTAATTTTCTGTACGTTCTTGCAGCCGCATCAGTGTGAATCCTGGCAGAGTCTCTGGGTACTCTGGTCCAAGTTTAAAAAGAGCAAACTGGTTCATTTTCTTTTCATCACTCTGGCAGCAAAAGTGGGAGAATTCATCCAACACACTGGCAGATTCATCATTTTATCATTTAAAATAACTTTTTAGAAATAAAGTTATAATGAAAGCACATATGATGTCAGCCAAAGGTAGTAACAATATTTCTGACAACCTCACGCTGACATGATGGATTAATAAATGGTAAAAATAACCAAAAGTGTTTCGAGCAAAATCAAGCGTTCAGAGCAGTCTGAACCCCGAAATGAACAGATGTTTCTATCTCCTTTATTATTTCTGCTCATTTCAGTTGCTGCTATCTTTGTGCCATTCCCCCCCATTTTAACCAGACCTCTGGCTCCCCTCTGACATGCTCCCATTTTGTCTTTCAGATCTGCACATGTGCAGAAGATGTCTAGAAAACTGCAAAAAGTGCACAAGTTCTAGCATCTGCACGGAGTGTAAACCTGGGATGAGGTAAGCTGAGTCTAGAGAAACCAAGTCTTTCATTGTATAATCCCTTGTGTTTAACATTCATGTTAATCTAACATTTCCTGAATTAGCAAGGAAGGAAATGAAATCTTTCTTTACCGCTTTTTAACTCATTCACTTCCAGCCCTTATCTGAACAGAAGCCCCTGACTGCCAGCGCTTTTGAGCATTTTTACAGTTTTTTTTTGAAGAGCCACAGAATATTGTGCTGCATGACCTTGTAAACACCAAAACTACCAAAAGGAAGAGTAGACTCACTTATTTAATCAGGAAGAAACAGAGTGTTTCTTGCTTTTTCCATTCTTTCACAATCCGCTGTCCAAGTGTGAGCTGCAGAAGCTTTTCTGGTTTGCACCTCGCTTTAGGCATAGCGACGCCCCAAAACAGTCTCTTATTCATGGATTGTCTACTTTATGATCATGTGACATATATGGGTTAAAGTCAACTTTAGAGGCATGATGCTTACACTCAGTGTGTGCAAGCGCGTTCCCAAGCACGCCCAGTTAATGATGGCTTTAGTTGTTGATGGCAGTGAATCGGATAACAAGTTTTGCTCTAGGTTTCTCGCTTTTTGTTAAAACAACCTACATTTCATTAAATTTAGGGACAAATTAGGTGATGCATGCAAAATGACATGAAACCATCTGACCCAGGAGCTCTGTTGGAGAAAGCCTTTAGCATTAAAAAACAAAACAACAACAACAACAAAAAAAAAATATATATATATATATAATTAACAACCGTTCATGTTCGCTCATATTCTCTGGTACTTCCTGTCTTTTATTCATACCTGACCCTGACGCGCTCCGCTGCTGCAGACCTCAACACCCATGCTCCGGTGATTTCTGCTCACTGGCGTGGCTGCGCAGTGCACAGTCCGCTGTTTTTGCGGTCGGTAGATCCCTTTGATCTGCTTAGTTCCAAAGTAACTCATAGGATGAAAAAGGAGAAAGCCAGGCAGCAATGTTTCTGGAGGGTTGAGAGGAGATGCGGGAAGATTAGAGACTGACAGGAAAATAGTCGAGTAAAAAAAAAAAAAAACAAGAAAACAAAATGAAGTGCTTAAAAATAAAATAAAGAAACAACTTTTAGTTACTTTACAGGGAGTCTCTGCTTCTAATTTAGATCAGTGTATTACAGCGAGTTTCTGGTTTGGGTTCACAGAATGAAACTGTGAAAGCAGAACATCCCAACTGTTTTCCACTTGGGAGCCTGACTGAGCAATCTTATATTCACCCCATCACCCAGATGTATACAAATATATGTAAACTTGTCATGTGGAGACTCTGGAAAAGTATTTTTTTTTATTTTAGGCCTAAGTTATTATTTCTTCTCTAAATAATTTATGAATCTTGAGGTTTTATCTGTCTTTTAGTTTGCCGACTGTTACACTTGACCTCTGAGGATGTGTTGTTTTAAAGTGATGGAATTTCCAAAGGGTCATGAAGGCAGCACTTGAGGAGCATTTAAAGCATATTGCAGTTTTGAACCCAACTTTGAAGCATTCATCGGAGCCAGAGGTAGAGGTGGAGGCCATAATTTCTTCAGAACGCCTTGGAGATCACACATTCTGCGCGCACACGCGCACACGCTCAGTGTCCCACCCTCCATTTACTCCTGCATTTGAGCTCTGTTAGAAGCCAGGGAGGAAGAGAGGACCAGATCATTTCTGGGAAATTTTGGATAAGGCAAACCAGCTGTTTTTCAGCTCAGCGCAGCAAACTCACCAAACTGTTCTCCCTTAACTTCACAAAAAAGCTACTTTCTAACCTCCGAGCCTGCTCCCTAACAAACCTCTATCCCCTACGTTTGGTACAACAGATGTTCTGGACATCCTGACATTTTTCTCGCATGTCAGTTAAATTAAAGCACCAAAAGCCATCTTATAATATCAAACATCCAGGGAATTAAAAAAATAGTTCTGCAGGATTTTATTTCTGTTTTGTTTTAATCGTGTACTCCCGCTTTCAGTACTTGTTTTTTAATTTTGACTTTCAGTCTTCAAGGAGACAAGTGTCAAATGACCTGCGACCCAGGAACCTACTACAACGGCCACAGAAGGACTTGTGAGCCCTGTCATCGAGCTTGTGCCACCTGCGCAGGTTAGAAGTTGCAAATGAAAGAAAAAAAGCATCTTCATGAACTTATTTTGTTGATGATTTAAATACATTCATGTGTGTTTTAATGTGCTTTGCAGGCACAGGTGTAGAAGCATGCACCAAGTGTGCAGAGGGCTACTTACTTGAGGACTGGCGGTGTGTTTCATCGTGCAGCCATGGCACCTACCTGCTAGAGCAACCCTTAGACAATGGGCAGGTGCAGAGGTCCTGTAAGAAGTAAGTCCACATGCTTGGAAACGCTTGCATAACACAATCAAAAGTAGAAAAAATATAGTCCATAGAAATTAAGAAGGGAGTCTTTTTTTTTGCCAGATAAAGTTGAGTTCCTGCTTTTTTGTATTGCTCTGCCTTGATTAACTTAAAAGGCTCCCTTGATATGCATCCAATGGCAAAGTTATTTAAATATTTATACGTATCCAAAAAAGCATGTAATGTTATCCAAGTCTATCATAACTTTTGTAGGTTCCTCCCTCCAGCCAGAAATTCGAAGTCTTCTTTTAGACTGAATCGCTTTCTATGAAGGTTTTTGTTGTGAAGCAGGGAGCTTACTGGAGACGGAGCTACAAACGTCTGCAAAATTCCCTCTTTCTGTGCAACGTGCATGGATAAGCTTATATGGAAGTCTGACCTACATGTCAGTTTGAAAATAAGATTAATAGAAGAGGTAATAGTAAATGATTAGCTTGCATATTAAAGATAACTTTGCAATCCTTTTTATTTCAAATTGAAATGTATTAATCAGAACAGCTTTTGTAATAAATTAAAAATGTCAGATGAATCTGTTTCCTCTTGCTTTTGTAAATGTAATTTGTATGACGATGAAAGTGGAGGAAAAAGAAATAAGCAAACATTTTTAGTTTCAGGTTTTTAACGAGCTGAATACCTTTTTCCACTTTCAAACTCCTCCAGTCTGTTTTTTATCCCTTCTTGTTCCTGGTATTTCACTCTCCCACCTTAAATAATTTATTGCTCACTTGACCCTTTATTTCTCTCAAATCTTGCATTCCCAGTCAGCTTCTCTTTGTATCCGAAACGGAGTGCAAACCACTTATACACTGTTTGGAAACTAAGAGAATTTACATTTCTCCATGCCAAATGTGTAAATGCAAATAATTATATGGATTGCTTTAATGGTTATGTGGATAAACTCAGTATTATCATGTAGGATTTTTGTGTAATTGTGTGTCCTCTGACAGGTGTGACAATAGCTGCTTTGAGTGTCTGGGTCCAGGGGAACGAAACTGCAGCAGCTGCAACAGTGGTTACAATCTAGAGGCAGGAGCCTGCATGGTTAGCACCATCTGCAAAGATGGTGAGTTGTCAGCTTTCATATTTATTACATGATCTTCATCCATGTGAATTCTGCACTTACTGAAATAGTGTGCTTTAAAAAGTTGGATTATTTAAAAAAACAGTTTTTTAAAAATGAAGTTAACTGCTAACATAGACAATCAGATGAATAAATATTGAAATGCAATTCTAAAACAATGCAATAGTTTTCCTTGTGGCCTTTTTAAAGGTGTGGAACACTCGTTTAATCAATACATTGGCGGTGGTCTCTAGTAGGAATGAATGCCTTGTAAGTCGTACTCCGGGGGTAAAAAGCTCCTGTGCACCTGTTTCAGGAACTAGAATTGAGCCACATCAGAGTAGAGCTTCAGGTGGCAGGATTTGGAGTCTTATTTCCTGATAGTTGGACATCTCTCTTCTGATTGGCTAACAGCAATGTAACTGTACCACTGACTTGCAATGTTGATCTTTTATCCCCACAAATAACATGAGCCTGGAGGAATTCTTTGGTGTGGTGGAGTTGCTAATGCTAACAGTTAGCTTCAACTAAATGAGAGGTTTTCTGCAGTTTCTTGAACGCTAAACCAAAAGCAGCCTTCCCCATCATGAGCCAAGATGGCTGTGTCCATGAATGTTAAGTGACAGTGTGACATAGATCTGCCAGGTTTTTCAAATCCTAGTTTCATCCTTTTTTCTACCAAGGTAATGCAGGAGATAGGTGTAGGAGACTATTTTCATGTTCATTCTGCAAGAAAATCTCGGAGTGACCGATTATAATCAGAAACAATCATTACAATGTGTTTTTTAGTGAACCACACCTTTAAAAAAAAAAGCTTGGCTTTGCACTAACACCTTGATCTAAACAGCAGCTTTAGTGCACATGTGTGTTTTTACAGCTTGCTTTAGTTTTGGTTTTATGTGTAACTTATTAACAGTGCAGGACTAATACTAGTTTGAAATCTCTTTGAAAAAGACACCACAAGAGTCTGTTTTATTCTATCATCTTTGTCTCAGTTTGTTTCATTTGCAAGAAAGCCAAAAGGCTTCTTTAGCTGAACATTTTCTGCTTTTTGTGCTGCTCCCCCAGACTGTGCATGTTGGGTTCTCAAATCTTTACTCTTGAATGTTTTACTAACTGGATGACCTCATATTCTGGTTTTGATGCTTTGCCTGTGTCAGCTTTAGCCAGATCTTTCTAGATGGTACGAAAACATGGCCGTGTGATGAGATGAAGCCCTGAGGAGAAAAACCGCCTTTACGGCGCGACCTTTCTGTTGATGATGATTTTGCATAAAGTGCACCCTCAGTCTGTTTCCTGTCTTCCTAAATCAAAAGGTCTCCTTATGGAGATGGTTTGATTGGCAGCTCAGAAATAAAGCATGTTATTAAAAATGCAATTTGTAATAGAAAGAACAGGCTCACAGACTGCTGGTCCACCTTTTGCTTAAAAAAAATAACTCAAATTTGTGAATTTTAAAGTAAAAAAAATCTTTTAATTTACTAATTGTGTGACATTTTTTTCTTCTCTCTTTCTTTTTCTCCCAAATCTGTTTTCTTTTTGTCCTGACCTGGATCCAATCACTCCGCTGGACTACAATCACATTCCACCTCGATGAACATCACCTATGATTGGATCAAAAAACACTTCCTGTTTCCTGAACCTCCTCCTGACCAATCACATGGCTCTCCCTTTTTTTTACTCCATATTTTTGCACCGTGTGTGTGTGTGTGTGTGTGTGTGTGTGTGTGTGTGCGTGTGTGTGTGTGTGTGTGTGTGTTTGTGTGTGCTCTCCCTCCTTCCCTTCTACCCCTTCCTTGTATCTTTTCTTCCTGGTCTGTGGAAAGCAAATGAAGAATCTTGGGCGGAGGGCAGTTTCTGCGTGCTCGTTAAAAAGAACAATCTTTGCCAGAGGAGAGTGCTGCAGCAGCTGTGCTGCAGAACATGCTCGCAAAAGGGGTGACGGAGCTTCGGTCACCACTCGTAACAGGAGTGCAGGGGGCGGGGGGCACCGGGGGCACTCCCCCCTTCTCAAACCCCCACGTCCACGCATTCACAGCCGCATAATTTATAAGAAAATCTGTGCCTCTCTAAAAGGACTGCATCGGAGGTGCGATGACAGGACTACAACAAACCTACCTGTTTTCTGTACTGGGACATACGTGTGGTCAGGGTGTCAAACGACTGGGACTTACGTCAAGAAAAAAAAAGATCTAATAAAAAAAACATTCAAAAATAAAAAAAGAATAAACGTGTTGGTATTTTGTGACCAAAGCATTGATGCCAAAATAACTGAACCTTCTTTTTTTTATTTCTTGTTGTTGCCAGTGTAGAAAAGCATAGTTAAAAACAGGAACCACTCAGCCTGTGAATCTCTGAATGCGTCTGTGTGCATTTGTTATTTTTAAAAATTTTGGGCCCCTCTTTCTCATCTCTTTCCAGCATTAACGATAAACAGATGGAAAGTGACTACACAGTAGGAAAGGCCACAGTTTTCTGCCTGTAAATATACGTCAGAAAAGAAGAGGAAGAAGAAAAAAAAACATAGCTCACTCAGTAATGTGAAAGTAATGCGTGTCTGGGCTCACTTTGGCTGTTTGGAAGGGAAGACAAATTCACAGTTTATTATATGCCACACACGCAGTGCACTGATGCATATATCTATATAAACCACACATGCTCTCATCTGAACATGGACATTAATCAGACGCTACTTGAAGCTACAATGCCACCGTACATCAAACCTGATGCGTGTTTCTGACCAGAATAAACTCATTCACTTCAGTCAAGCTGCCCTCTTGAATAGTGTGTGTGTGTGTGTGTTTATCTTTATTGGTGTGTGTTTAAGAGAATGCCATTAAATCTTGATGTAAGCCCAGACAGCATTGATGTATTCGAGAGGCGTACTACAAGAGGAGTCGATAGTCATTCTTTCCAAATCTTTCTGCGGGGTGGGGAACTCTGCAGGAAGTTCTAATGTGGTGTTAGGGATGTACCGATGCCACGTCTTCACACAGGATGAAGATTCCCGATATGATATTAAGGATTTAACACCTCAAAGCTTCACCTTTTATTATGATGGATACAAAAAATGCCCACTAAAATTAATCTGACTTGTTACAGGATTCTTTTTTTATGTTGGTTTAAGTTTTTTTTCACCGGCCGTATATAACCCTGCTTAAGGGAACCTTGTCCAGTAATATTGCTATCTGTGTCAGTGCATCCCCACATGTTACTGTTCTCAAATAAATTACCGTTTTAGACGTTTCTGCTCTTTTCCTTCCTGATATATTGACTAAACATATCAGCCGAGGTACTCCACTACATGTTCGACGTCAAACCTCAACTATTGGCACAGAAATACGTTGTCAGATGAAGCTTGCTGACAGGCAGGCACGTGCTTATTTTTTTTTATCATCATTGTCAAAATTCAGATTTTTTGTATTTTGTTGATCAATTGGCTAAAATTCCAATCTCATTGGGCCAAAAAACTATTTTTTATTCTTTTTTATTTAAATTGTTGATGCCAGATCATCTCAGATGTCGGGTTTCTTCTGACTGTCCCAGAACTTTGGCTGACGACGATCTAAGATCTTCCTGCAGATGCTGGATCCTAAAATAACTGCAAATAAAGAGAAAAATAGAAAAAAGTTCTTATTTCATGATGGGTGTTTCTGCCTGCAGCTTGAGCATTTAAAGTATTAGAAAAATTGTTGTACTGTTGTGGTTCTTGATTTGTAATAAAGACTTGATGAATCCCCTGTTTTGGTTAACAAAAACTTTACTGTGGTGGTTTAAGATGACTTGTGTTTGTGAGCCTCTCTCTCTCACACACACACACACAAATTGTGTACTTTTGACATTTCTGTGAAAATGCATAAACCCAAAATCTTCATTTTGAATGACTAACTTTTTACTTATTAAAACGTTTAATCTGTTAAAATCTAGTATTAATTATTTTTGATTACCTTCTAAAACAATAGGCAACCCAGTTATAATTGTTGGGGACATTTTATCTAGATTTTCTTAAGTTTTTGCAAAACATACGGAGACTCTGTCAGTATTAGTAAAACTGACAAAACATCAGCAATTTTTATGAAGATCATTATTGTTCCCAATATGGGTTCATGACAATCGAAAATTACATTCACGAGTGGCTCTGAGTGGATGAAGGATCTTTGCTCAGATTTAGTTTTTTGGTAGCATGCGGTTTTCTCGCCTTATTGCAGCAATTCTTCCAGTTTTCCAGGTTTTGGTAATATTTCAGTAATCCCTACGTGTTCATTCCTCCATGGCATTGCTCCATTTGGAATTTAAAATTAAATACCTGGACGTATAGAAAACTGACAAAAATATTTAAAAATAGGTAGAAGTATTTGTCTAATCTTTAGATGAGTCAAATACAGGGAGTGTAGAATTATTGGGCAAATTGTATTTTTAAGGAATAATTTTATTATTGAACAACAACCATGTTCTCAATGAACCCAAACAACTCAATATCAAAGCTGAATGTTTTTGGAAGTAGTTTAATTTTGGCTATTTTAGAGGGATATCTGTGTGTGAAGGTGACTATTACTGTGCATAATTATTGGGCAACTTAAATATATACCCATTTCAATTATTTTTACCAGTGAAACCAATTTAACATCTCCACATTCCCAAATATACATTTCTGACATTCAAAAACAATACAAAAACAAATCAACGACCAATATAGCCACCTTTCTTTGCAAGGACACTCAAAAGCCTGCCATCCATGGATTCTGTCAGTGTTTTGATCAGTTCACCATCAACATTGCGTGCAGCAGCAACCACAGCCTCCCAGACACTGTTCAGAGAGGTGTACTGTTTTCCCTCCTTGTAAATCTCGCATTTGATGATGGACCACAGGTTCTCAATGGGGTTCAGATCAGGTGAACAAGGAGGCCATGTCAGTAGTTTTTCTTCTTTATACCCTTTCTTGCCAGCCACGCTGTGGAGTACTTGGACGCGTGTGATGGAGCATTGTCCTGCATGAAAATCATGTTTTTCTTGAAGGATGCAGACTTCTTCCTGTACCACTGCTTGAAGAAGGTGTCTTCCAGAAACTGGCAGTAGGACTGGGAGTTGAGCTGGACTCCATCCTCAACCCGAAAAGCCCCACAAGCTCAGCTTTGATGATACCAGCCCAAACCAGTACTCCACCTCCACCTTGCTGGCGTCTAAGTCGGACTGGAGCTCTCTGCCCTTTACCAATCCAGCCACGGGCCCATCAAGACTCACTCTCATTTCATCAGTCCATAAAACCTTAGAAAAATCAGTCTTGAGATATTTCTTGGCCCAGTCTTGACGTTTCAGCTTGTGTGTCTTGTTCAGTGGTGGTCGTCTTTCAGCCTTTCTTACCTTGGCCATGTCTCTGAGTGTTGCACACCTTGTGCTTTTGGACACTCCAGTGATGTTGCAGCTCTGAAATATGGCCAAACTGGTGGCAAGTGGCATCTTGGCAGCTGCAGGCTTGACTTTTCTCAGTTCATGGGCAGTTATTTTGCCTCTTGGTTTGTCCACACGCTTCTTGCGACCCTGTTGACTATTTTGAATGAAACACTTGACTGTTTGATGATCACGTTTCAGAAGCTTTGCAATTTTAAGACTGCTGCATCCCTCTGCAAGATATCTCACCATTTTTGACTTTTCTGAGCCTGTCAAGTCCTGCTTTTGACCCATTTTGCCAAAGGAAAGGAAGTTGCCTAATAATTATGCACACCTGATATAGGGTGTTGATGTCATTAGACCACACCCCTTCTCATTACAGAGATGCACATCACCTAATATGCTTAATTGGTAGTAGGCTTTCGAGCCTATACAGCTCGGAGTAAGACAACATGCATGAAGAGGATGATGTGGACAAAATACTAATTTGCCTGATAATTCTGCACTCCCTGTATTATTATGAAGTTGTATCCATTGCTGTTTCCTAATGGTCAAAAGTTCTAGTGAAACATTTTCTGATGCTGTCGTATTAAATCACACAGATCATTTGAGAACACCTGGAGTGTTGCTCCAAAACAAATAAAGTTAGGGTGTTTTATGAATGCAAAGACTCATTCAGCACATTTCTAAAACATAAGTCTTTTTCTCAAGATTTTCTTGTAAAATATTCACAGGGAACTAAAGTGCGGTGTGTAAATAACCCTGTAATTTATCAGAAAAATAAATAAACAAAAAGCCTTTTTAATGATTAAATTAGCAGTTTCCTGCATTAGTCTCAGATGCATCCAAGTAGCTGTTGAGGGATCCTGCTGCACAGAGATGAATAATTCATGTCTGAACTTGGGTCAAGAAATGCACAATCGCAGATAATAAACAATAGAGATAATATTCCACAGAGCCCGGTGGGCTCAAATAACGTTATATTATTCCGCTTTTTTGGTCTGATTAGATTTGCAGAGGTCAGGATTGGGGTCATGGTATTGGGATTCATAACCAGGTGTGTAAAGCATAAGTGAGTGTCCATAACAAAAGAAAAACAGAGTGACAATCTCTCTCTTCTAATTTTTTTGTTGCTCTGTTTAGTTTGAAAGTGTTTCTGCTGTGTGGAGTTGTGCAGCCTTTCGCCCCTCCCAAAGAGAACTCGTCTCTCTGTTTGTTTGCGTGCGGGAGTGAGGGGGAGACAAACCGAAAGACAGGGAGGCAATTTGTGTGTGTGAGGAAGAGTGATGGCATTTTATTCGGTGGGCCGTTTGAATGGTTTCAGCAGAATTCTGCTGAATGGGAAGCCGCTGCCTGTTGTGTTTGTGCACAAAGACACTCTTTTGTTTTTCAGAGGAACAATTGAGCTTTTCACTGAAAGCCAGAGAGCGCAGACAACCTCACCGCTGCTTTGGAGGATGCTCTCTCTCTCTCTCTCTCTCTCTCTCTCTCTCTCTCTCTCTCTCTCTCTCTCTCTCTCTCTCTCTCTCTCTCTCTCTCTCTCTCTCTCTCTCTCACACACACACACACACACACACACACACACACACACACACACACACACACACACACACACACACACACACACACACACACACACACACACACACACACACACACACACACACACCATCGTTATGCTTAAACCAGTCTGTCACCTTTGTCTAACACAAAAGTTGTATAGGAGGCCGTGTTTACAGCTTTTTGTGGATTTAAGCCCAGCGTGAAGCTGAACTTTGATGGTTTCATGCAAACTTCTTTTTTATACTAATCAAGCCAAAAATGAGTTCCCATTTCTAATTTAATAATTATGTAATTGCGACAGCAGCATGTAATGACGACTGCACATCTACCTGGGGTGTGATCATGTTTTCAGTTTGATGATCACTCTGCCAGGTGTTGCGGTTTCTGGCACCTAAAACTCAATTTCCTGCCTGCGTTTGGCTCTCTGGATCCCACGCACATTTTCAGCATTTTTAACAGCACAGGATGTTGACACGGAGCGGGAGGAGGAATGGTCGATGATTCCGCTGCATTTCTACTCTAATTAGCTTCACCTCCAGAGGCCTTCTGATGCTGCCATTACCTGGTCACAAATAATCCTCACCGGAGGTAAATGGCTCCAGAGTGCCTCATTTACAGTTTTAATAGTGAGGCTAAATAGGATTTTGGCACCATCTATCTCCTACTTGTCCTGTTTAAAGGCTGAAAATGGCTCCAGCTTGAGGGGAGAAAATCCACTTCATGCTAAATGTGTGTTTTTTGCATGATGGAAAGAAACCACGCAAACTTAAGAGGGACCCAACACAGAAAAGTGGAACACAAACTTTCTGCTGTGAGCGAGCAGATCGAAATACTTCAACATATATCAAATAAATTCTATTACACCAGTTAAATCAAATTATATTGCAAAAACAATCAGATATTTAACAATTTGCTTTAATTAAAATGAACCGAATCACTTCAAATTCACTGGAAAATGGAAGTTTCTTCTCATTTTGTGCTTCGTTTCTTCCTTTACAATATTCTCTTTTTTATTTTACAATGAGAGTTTCAAAGATGTTTTTAAAACCAGTCATGCACGGCATTAAAAACAGACAAAGAGAATAATATGCAGAAGGTGTCAGGAGCCAGAGGATAATGAGCTGTTCCTCAGTGTGGTGAAAACAAGAACAGCTGACTGGTGGTTAATTGGTACAACTGGGTACACGTTGTAGCCCAACTTGAGCGGGAGAAAGTGAAGTAAATAAACTCTGATCAAACTGCTGGTGCGGGAGCGTGGTGATGTTCACAGCTGCTCTCTTTTGCAGGACAGTACATGAATAAACACGGGAAGTGTCATCTTTGTGATGTTACCTGTGAGCAGTGCACAGGACCAGAGAGCAAGGACTGCATCAGCTGCCCAGAAACAAGGTGACAACCATATGAAAGGGTTTTCATTCATTCACTCACACACATGCACACACAGGATTTTAAACTCCAAACCTGCAAATGACCACACACACCTGCTCTAAGATACACACATCAGATTGATTACACCCAGATGAATCACTCTGAAACTGAAGATGGAAGTTCATAAATCAGTGACAGTCTGAAATAAAGGTGAAACTTGGCACAAAGCATCACACCAATTGCAAAGCAATGAGAGAGTCATTTAACCCTCCCGCTGTCCTATCGGGTGACCCCGCAAGGAAAGTTGACCATTGAGCAGGGTTGATGGTTTATCCCTTGGGTCCATGTGGCAGGGGTGAGGAGTGAGCACCACCTCACTCCTCACCCCTGCCACATGGACCTCAAGGGATAAACCATCAATCCTGCTCAACGGTCAACTTTCCTTGCGGGGTCACCCGTTAGGACAGCGGGAGGGTTAACAAAGTCCGAAAAACAGGTGGATGCAAAAAAACATACAAATTCTGATTAAAAACTGTACCAAATCCTCAAAATGTTATTGGGATGATAACATGGATGAAGCAAAAAAGGAATGATTTTTAGGAAAGAAGTTATGAAAAAGTAATGGACCAACAGCCAAAATCTGGATCTGCGTTCAGGAGAGCATCTCTGTGGAGTCCTGGAGGTGGATGAGGACTGATGCTTACCTAAGGTGTCAAAAGTTAAAATGAGGGTCCTAAACTATTATTAAAAATGCAGATTTCCTTTTTCTTTCTAAATATGACTAAATTTGAGCCCAGAGCCTCTAAACCGTATCTGCCATGCTGTTGCATTACTGAAAGAAAGAACAAAAAAACTCCACATGAAGACAAAACTGAAACTTGACAAAATGTGGAGCGCTTTTAAATGATTACAGTAGGAATCATATTAGTGCTGCGTTCCATTAAACAGTGTTGATCAATTAGATAATATCCATGTTATAAACAGCAGCTCATATTCATTGTAGTTTCTATGCTGATGGACTCTGCGTTATCCGCTGCCCGACGGGTCGTTACGCTGCGGAGAGGCAGTGCCACCTCTGTCATCACACCTGTCAAGCGTGTGATGATGAAGGGCCAGATAACTGCACCAGCTGTGGAACAGGTACACCCCCGTCCTCCAAGTAACATGTATATTTATCTGACTAAAAAATGGAATAGCTTTAAAGTCTCTGGACGTTGCATCAGTCTGAGTGGATGAATTACCCTTTTTAAATTTTAAAATGCACATGCCTGGCATCTGTACTGCAGAGGTTGAATGCTGTTCCCACAAACTAATCTATCAGTAAGGGCAGCTAAAGTGTTTTTATGGATTTAAAGGAGACATATTAGGATTTTTTTTTCTTATATTGATCTGTAGTCATTACAAAACATGTGTGTGAAGTTCTTTGCACAAAACCCCTCTCACAGAGTGATCTAAGCAGTTTCAGTACCTTCCAGAATAAGTCGTTTCAGGGCTCTGTCATTTGAAGGAAACAACCTGGAGTTGGCCACGCCCACCCACCACCTACTCAGGCCGCTATTAGCTGAGAAGCTCTGAAATCCAGGAGGGGCTTGGCCTAGAGTTGCTGCTCCTCCAGCAGCAGCTTTCTCTTGCACATGAGAGGTGGCTCATTTCCCTCGTTTGTGACATCATAAATAGGTTTTTTTAAACAGCTTGTTTTAGGCACATAAATCTTAAAGCCAGACACTGACTGCATGGATTTTTTTCACATTTGGTGTGTTTATTGAAGCAGAAGAGACCCACGTGGCAGCACAGAGAGATGCAAGATGTGAGTTTTGCATAAAATGTTCCCTTTAAACTCAGATTCTTTTGAGTCAAACATCACCAAACAGTCTTTGTCGTGAGGTTTTAATGTAACTGTTGATAGATGCATTAAATATTATTTTGCTGCTAATTTGCAGCTGAAATGACTTTGTGTAAGGGATTTTGTGCAAAGAACTTCATGAACATGTTATTCATCGGCCATTGAATTATAACTTAAGAAAAAAAAACTCATCATTTTTCCTTTACCATAAAAATTCCAGTTTTACTTTCTTACATAAAAAAGAAAGAAAGAAATTCTGTGTAATATAACTAATATCTCCCAAAGTGCCGTGAACTCCCCACCCCCACCCTCCATCATGTTATTGAAAATCCCAGACATCATTCAAGGATCACAGCTGAAGAAATATTAGTCCGATGGTGGCAGGAACAAGTGTGTTTATCACACCGCCACAGACAGTATTATGGCTGTCAGAGTGAGTGTATTTACACTACGGAGATACTGTTACACACCTATGTACACATTCACTTGGGGATTCCAGACAGCCAGGAAAGAATTAACACCAGACTTTCCTCTCACTCACTCAGATACACACACATGCTCGCTTACTTGCAGTCACGCACATACACGCACGCACGCACACCTTTAACATGCACACACACTTTCAGTTAGGCGAAACATTTGTCAGACTGTGTTTGTAAATGTGGTTCCATTTAATTGCAAGTCTGTCTAAGATGCAATGAGACATAACACTAACAGCATGAGTAGACCTTCTATCTGTCTCACACAGTTTCAGCCTTAAAACTCTGTCTTTTATCTCTCTCTCTCTCTCTCACACACACACACACACACACACACACACACACACACACACACACACACACACACACACACACACACACACAATGAGCTATGTAGAAAGAAGATGCTGACTTGTGATTGCAATGTAAGTCAGTAAGTAAATTTTATTTATAGAGCACTTATCACAGACAGAATCACAAAGTGCTTCACATAGATCAAAACAAAATAAAACAAAGTCGTAAAATCATAAAGATCTCAAAGCAGAAATAGATTAACATCAGAAAAAAAAGGATCACGCCAATGGTTGGATTCTCTGCACTCGTAACAGAAATATTACTAAAAGAACACAAAATATATATATTTGGTTTATCAAACATTAAGTATGTTTAAAATGACTAGTGCAAACACAAATTAAGTCAGGCAGGTATAAATTTAAAGTCCAACAGTAAAAGATACAAATCACGTTGCTTTTCTTATTCTCTACCTAAAAAAATAAATAAAAAAGAAATTTACTCCTTGTATTTATTTTGTATGGATATTTTAATGCATGAGCTTGACTAGGACTTGTTTTCATCAATCAGAAAGTGTTATCTATCAAAACCTAAAATGAGCTTCCAGTTTATCCCTAGAAAAATCACTTAACTTGGGATAAATCTTGCATAAAATGTTGCACGAACAGTTTTCCTGTTATTTTTTTCATTGGAACACATGCTGAGTTCTCCTTAGATGCTCAAAATGTCACTTGTGAAAATAAAACACAAATTAAACTTCATGATTAGATACTTTCTTAAAGAAAACCAATGACTGAACAGGTCTACATGTTAATTTCTTGTATCTTTTTGAAGGTTTCTCCAGATTCAGAGAGTCAAGCTGAAAATGTGTTCAATTAAAATGCAGTTTTTTAAAGTGACAACAACAGATTTGGCTGGACTAACAGACACCTCTGGGAAAACGTTCTATAATCCTGAAATTATCTGCGTGAGCATTCGGGTGTCTCTTTTTGCTAACTTACACGTTCTGATTTTAAATCGTTTCCTTTTACATGAATGGGAATTGTTTCAAAAGCAAATAAAACAGAATGTACTCTACATTTCATCACTACTGAAGCATTTTTACAGATGTTTGAGCTTCCCCCACTAAAGCCAACAACACAACCCAAAACTATCAGAAAAATGCTGGGTTTCGAACCGTCTGTTGATAACACACTGAATGGCTGCTCCCCTTTTAAGTCCTCAGGACACGTTGTCCATGGTTTCCATTCCAATTTAGAATTTTGCAAAACGGGTTTTCCCTTTTGCCTCTGACCATTTTAAATAAGCTTTGGTCCAGAGGAGATGCTGGCGTATCTGGATCATGTTTACTTATGACTGCTTCTTTGCACGCTGCAGATTTATCTTGCGTTAGAAGACTGCACGGCAAACTGCAATGATTTCTGGAAGTATCCTTGAGTACACCATTCCCTGTTTTTATTGTGCAATGCAGTTTTGACCTCTGACCTTGAAAATGAGATAATATTTTCTGTATTATGAATTGTTTCTGATAGGTTGTTTATGTTCTATAGCAAATAAAGTATAGGATTTGTAAATCACTACATTGAGTATTGATTTACATTTTACATAGCATCCTAAACCTTTTTGAACAAGAGTTATAAAATATACTCTAAAGCACCTACAATGAAGCTCTAAACCCAATTCCTGAACGGTTTCAGTCTACGTCACACCCTCCTGCATCTAATCAAAACAACCATTCCAACACAATAGAACCTAACGACCTCAATGACTCCTCGTGGGGTAGGGAGGAGGGGCATTCATAGGTAGTTTCAGCTTGTTATGCGACAATAGGCAGCTTCAATTTATCCCATAATCCAGTCAGAATTGACAAAGCTCCTCTAATGAGAAGCGAAACGTCTTTAAGAAACCAAAAAAGTCCAGCAGACTTTATTCGAAGCCTTTTGGATTACCATCACCTGGATGACTGAGAACCTTCATCAGCATACTCCATTTTTAAAAATATGTGCATTTGTGAATAACCGTGTCAGATGTCTTCTGACACGTGCACCAAGAATACTCTTCAGTCCTTCCCTGAGTGTGAGTCCGCCTGCATACCTGAATAGTGCATCAGCGTTTTTCACCTGTACTTTGTCTCCACACAGACAAGTTCGGCGTGAGCCGGTACCTCTATCAGACTCAGTGTCGGGAGGTCTGTCCCGAGGGGTTCTTCCACTCTGAGAGGAAGCAGTGTGAGCCCTGTCCCAACGAGTGTGTCATGTGTGCTGCAGCAGATCACTGCCTGCGCTGCGCCGCTGCACACAAGCTCAGAAACGGCCACTGCTTCCCACTGGAGTGCAGCGAAGGTGAGGACGGGTGCAGACACATAAAATAACAGCTTAACTATCTTAAACATATGTTCATTTCTGACACAGGTTCCAAACCTTGTATGTCATCTCCTCAGAATAAATGCAGCAATAACTAATATTGCAAGGATTCTACACAGGATCACCATTACAATCTAAACCACAAGCATTTTACCAAACTAAAAGACAATTATGCACAATTATTGGTCAGCTAAATGATTTATTGCAGATTATTTTCCTATGTTAGAGTTTCTGTAACCAATAACACACATCTTTCTGAACTATTTACTGATACACAGCCTCTCTTCTTTTTAATATGTGAATTCTGTGATCGTATCAGACATTTTTAATAAAAAGCTCATAGGTTCGCAAAATGGAAATAGTATTTACTCTCATTTTCACATGTTATAAAATAAAACATTGTGTATTTGAATCTTTTTATTTCACTAATCCATAACTTTACACCCTTCATCAGCGGAAGTTTCAGATGCACAGAAGGAGGACTGTGTCCCCTGTGACGATGGCTGTGAGAAATGTCAAATCCGTAAGTGGACTGCGGTTCTGTTGTTGCTTGACATCTTTCTTATATTCCTAAAAAATAAAACATTTAAAACACAACGTAGTGCATTTCTATATAAGAATAGAATCAGCAGTGTAATATTTGCTCACCACTGAACATTTTCACAGATGAGACCTTTATTACAGCCTTGAGGAGCGAGGTGCACTTGAGGGGATTTGTGGTGCTGAATGTTGGCAAAAGTACGGAAGAGGTTTAGGGTCACTGAAAATAAAAAAGAAAAGACAAATAATTCAGACTTTAATGTCAGAATTTTAATTTAAAGGGATACTATGCAGTTTTTGGCTTGCTTTTAGCACCCTCTAATGTCCGTTAGTGAAAGCAAAATTGTAACTTATCTCCTGGCTGTGTGTTTGTTTTTTTAACACCTTAATCTAACAGCTGAAATGCCTCCTCAGCCTTTATTAGTGTCTAAGAGCAGTTCACTAAAATAAATTAGCTGTGTTTATGATCTATAACATGCAGGAGGCCTGCTGGAAGCAGCTCCAGGCACGCCAGCTCCACTTTACCAAGTCCAACAGGTAGCAACCCGCCACTCTGAAGTTGCAAGTGCGGTATTCTGGCTACAGAGGGTGGTGGGGGGTCTGAGTGACTTTTTATAAACCCTGTAAAAGGTCGTTTTAGCACATACTGGCTCAAGAAAATGATTTTAAAATATAAAAAAGTCTCATATTATTAATTTAATCTCAGAAGTTTTACCTTTTTTTGGAATTCTGACTTAAGTATCAGTATTAAAAAGTCTGAATTCTGAGATTAAAGTCAGAAATCTTTTATTTTTTCTTTCTAGTGGCACCAATCACCCTCCATAGAGAAAGGCTTTGTGTTGCTGCAGAGATTAGAATTAAAAACTCAATTTGAGTTCAGAGTCAAAACTGAAAGGTTGCTGTTCAGGTGAGTTGCCATAAAATGTTGACCTCACACTACAAGTCCGTGTGTGGTCTCTGCAGAACCCGCCACATTAAGACAAAAGCACTTCTTCCACTCAGACACAACTATCACTAACGTGGAAAGTTGTTATTGTGGAGTGAACCCATCTGAGGAGGAGACGGGCTGTTATTATGTCATTATGTATTCTGGCTGGAAAACCTTTCAGCCCCCGTTCAGACCTCCTGCCACTCAGCCACGACCCTGCGCTCTAACCAAACCTGCCTGGTAGATTTCAGAGGATTGTCCCCATCCTCTTTTAACATGACACTGTCAGGAGGATTGGACCCAAAATGCAGAACATCGCAACTCAAGGCTGGAGAGGTCGTTTAAAATAAAAATCCTTTTATTAGAAAAACCAAGACTGTAGGACTCTAAGCAAAGAATAACTAAAGATCTGTAGATGGAAAAAAACAAAAGCTCACTCATGAGCCAGGAACTATAAATCTGTAGAGGGCAACGCTGACATAAGACAATGAACCGACAACCGCCGGAGACACAGACAGGGTTATACACACAAGGCTGGGGTGATAGGAGACGAGGAGCAGGTGCGTGGGGAACTGGGTACAGGTGAAACTAATAACCGAGAGGAGGAGCAGAATGGAGCAGGGGAGGAAACCAGACCTAACTGGGGAGGGGAACGCACACACACACACACACACACACACACACACACACACACACACACACACACACACACACACACACACACACACACACACACACACACACACACACACACACACACACACACACACACACACACACACACACACACACACACACACACACACACACACACACACACACACACACACACAAGGAGACTAAGAGAACATGGGGAAAACCTGGAGGGGGCTAGGGACCAAAGGGACACAGAACACGACAGACACTACAGATAGATGCGTGCATACTCCTGCTTACTCTAGTCAGGGGTGTCAAATATGCGGCCCACGGGCCAGATCCGGCCCGCAAGCGGGTTAAATCCGGCCAGCGAGATGGTTGTGTAAACTTTATTTTCATACTTTACGATGTAGAGTGAAAATAAACTTATCATTGTGAGCAAGTTTCCTCTGTAATGAGTATAAATAAAACAAAGCTGCGCTCAAGGCTCACACAAGAACTTGAATCACATCCTGAAGTTGGCCGCCACTCAGGATGTGACTTCTGATATTGATGTGCTGGTGAAAGCTAAAAGATGTAAAGTAAAATGAGTCAAATATACTTTAAGTGCTGCATGAAACTGATCTTGCCATGTGATCTGTAAGCTATTTGAATCACTAAGGAATGTTTCTTTTATTAGTTGATTTTTTTATGTGTTGATTTTATTTTATTTTTTTCAAATTTTCAAGTACGCTTCAGGTGTTGTACATGTACTACACTGTCCTCAGGCTCCAGCCTTGTTTTATATTGATTGTATTAAAACAAAGAAAACAATCTGAAGTTTTTTTTTAATTTACCGGTCCGGCCCACTTGGGACTAGATTTCCCTCAATGTGGCCCCTGAGCTAAAATGAGTTTGACACCCCTGCTCTAGATGCTTTAAAGCTTACATCAGACACCCCCCCCCCCCCCCCCTTATTTTTTCTTCTCATTGGTTATTTAAAAAAGGGGTAAAGGTCATAAAACTGAATCAAGATCTGATACAGGTCAGATTTAATGTAATCCCAATGACATGATTTAGATTAAATCTGCATTCTTTATCCTGGAAGTTATTTAACATGATCATTCAACCAATAGAAAGCTATTATACTTACACCTTATCAAAGAATGCACCTGCCCGAGCCAAATAGCTTTATTACTTTTTAAACTCATAATTATTATGTCTGCTGTCCTCCCAACAATCACTTTTTCCTATAATCTGTGCTGAGGCATGAAAATATTCTAGAAATGGGTTAGTCATGTGTTTTTCTTTATTTGATCACTGGAAAGGTCCAAAAGATCTCATCTCTGTCCCGTCATCCTTGGTGCATATTTCAAACCTTTTTTCTGTCTTTCTGTCAGTGAGCAGCGTTTAGAGTCCCTGCAAATCAATCCGAAAGATTGTTGTTCATTCTTGCTGACTGGAGTGATGATTTGTAGTTTTCACGTTTTCTAAACCGCAAGCCCGCCGTGCTGTTTTGGATTGATGTGTGAGACAACCACCACCGTCATTAAAACACCAAATGAAGGACTATATTTTGGAAGATGCCCTCCAGCAGGGTTGCACTAGAAGTGGAGGCAACATGTGGAGGCCCAACACCTTACTGAGACATTTATTATGGACCCTGTCTTTATATTTGTTGGTCTTTTCTAATCCTTCCCTTTAAAACAAAATGTTTTCTTACAAATCTTAATGAATTGGTAATGTAGTGTGCCCAGTCAAAGCTGTTAATCCTCTTTATGTGGAGCCGCTCTTTCCGCTCTGAGGCCTGCAAGCTTATCTTCAGCTCTGACCGACTGAAGCTCTTGCTGTGCTTGATCCGATTTACACGTTTAACTGATATTTATTATTTTTTTTCCAGCATTTCTTGGTAAAATCCAAAAGTGACTATTTTAAGTTCTGAATCCAACTATCGTCACTCTTGACTGAGTCCCTCTTCAGCGTGTCTAAATGCATGCACGTCATACGTGTTTCCCATAAAGGCTGCTGTGATATACGGCTTTGATTGCATGTACACAGAAAAAAAAACGTGTGCTTGCACATTCCACAAGTCAATACTTCAGGATGTGCACGCCATCTGAACCCCCCTCCTCCTTCCACCAGATTGCACAGTTAATATTTATGCGGGCGTTATTTTCTCTCATAGACACAGCCTGGAGGCATGATTTCCGGCTCCTCGCTCGCGTTTGCCTATACCTCCGTGCCTCCCACCTCTCCATTTTTCCAGGTCTCTCCCTGTATGAGTAATTGCTTTCACAGGTTGTGGCTTGTTGACTACATTGAAGTGCAAACCAGTGCAGAGCTAAGTTGTGGGTGCTGGAGGGAGACAGCAAGAGGAATGGGCTGTGGGGGTCGATGGAGGTTTTTCTTGAGAGGATTAATGTCCCGGGGGAAGGTCTGCAGAAGTGTCTCTTTAAACCATCCTTTACCTCCTCTCCTTGCCTGTCTGATCATCCCCATCCTCCTTTTTTCTTGTTCTCTTGCCAAACTACTTTTTCTCTCTCTGTCCTTGGAGATTTTTTTGACATTGTTGAACCAGGAGATGACAGAGTGGGCCTTCCATAGTTACTAGTTGAATGGTTTTGACTGACGGCAGGGATTAATTAGTTTGAGGGGAGCAAACTTCCTTTTCGGTGTGTGTGTGTTTGAGTGTTTGTGAGTGTGTGTGTGTGTGTGTGTGTTCTTGTACTTACTACATACCGAGGACCATCATGAGTTTTTAACCAACAGAGTGAGGTCATTTTTCAAAGTGAGGACATTTTTGCGGTCCTCACTTTGTTTTTGATTGAAATGGGCTCCAATTGTGTTTTTAATGCTCCTCCCTCATTTTCACAATGGTCCTCACTTTTGTCCAAAAGTGAGTTCTGGAGACCCTAAAGTTAACACACTTTTGCTCTCGGCCTCCCCCAGTGCCCTATTCTGGTACTGCAGGCCCTTCTGGGGTTTTTCCGAGGCTCCACCCATTTCTCTCCTCTCTTGCTCTCTCTAGAGGTGTTCCTTTGACACTGCACCCAAATTAGTGCAGCAAACAACACAATAACTGAAATCTACAGCTTTTCATTTATTTTTCAAATTATTTAATGGTTTTATTTTTGTAATAAATCTATAAAAACCATTTTTAATTAGTTTATATTGTCAGACATTTTTATAAATGCATACATTTAACAAATATCCACTAGTGGTCATCTATTAAATTGTTGTGCACAGACAAAAGTAGTATTCTCACTTTAATTCCTAAAATCAGGACAGATTGTGTGTGTTAACAACTATGTTTGGACAAATTACAATAAAATATTTCTAAATTCACTTTGAGTTAAGAAAATATGATTAGTGTCCAAACTAAGTTGATAAACCAGACATACAGTTCAAGCATAATAATTAGATATTTGGTTTCATGGCTG